TAATGCACTTAAAATAAAATTAAAGCTTGAACTAGAAATCAAGAGGAACAGTAGGGTTTGATGAAGCAGCTTTGGCAAGTAAGTTACAGGAGTTTTCTGAACAATATTTTAATTAAGACAACCCAAAACTAATTAACTTTAAGAATAAAAGTTTAAAAATCATGAATTAAAAAGTTTAATTTTAAATTGTCTGAGTTCTCAACCACGGTTTAAGACTTGACTAATTAGCAAATGCAAGTGCAAGCGAGATAGTTATACCAAGTGGCATTTTCTTTAATAACTTTTAAGTTTATTAAGCGTTTACACTAAAGTTTATCCCAAACATTTATGTAACTTCTAAAGTCTATTAATTTTTTCTCCGAGTGCCCCTTGACTTTGGTCACGCTTTCATCAACAAAACCAATTGCCAAGATGCAGCAAGCGAAAGAGAGTTTGCATTGTGTTTGATTTTGAATGGAATAAGTAAAACGAAAGTAAATGATGCGTCAAAGAAAAAGCAACATTTTCATTTATGCAAAATGGCGAAATAGGAGAAAAGCCAGCTCAATGGCAGCTTAAATAAATATATATTTAACAAGAAAGGAAGCTAACTTCGGCACGCCGAAGTTTATATACCCTTGCAGATAGAACTTCTATGAATAAAAAACCATACAATACAAATTATATATCTTTGTGTTAAAAAACAATGAAGTAAGTAATACCTGCTTTCATTTCATTCACCTATACATATTATATTTGCAGTTTTACATTCACTGATTTGCATTTTTCCTCCACATCAAACGATCGTTTGTATGGCACCTATATGATATAGTCGTCCGATTTTCATGAAATTTACCACAAAATTTAAGACTTAAATTAAATGCCTATACCTAAAATTTGATGAAAATCAGTTGAAAACTGAAAAGGTTATAAATTTAATTGTATTAATTTATCGATCGTTCCTATGGGAGCTATATGATATAGTAGTCCGATTTTCATAAAATTTTATGCAAAATTGTAGAGTATAGTAAAATGGCTATATCTCAAATTTGATCCAATTCTATTGAAAACTGAAAAAGTTAAAATTTTTTTTGTAAAAATTTTCCGATCATTCCTATGGCAGCTATATGATATAGTCGTCCGATCCGGCCCGTTCCGACATATATACGAGTGAGAGTATATAGAAGGCTAACTACAAAGTTTCATTCAGATAGCTTCAAAACTGAGAGACTAGTTTGCGTAGAAACGGACAGACGGACAGACGGACAGACGGACAGAAGGACAGACGGACAGACGGACAGACGGACAGACGGACATGGCTAGATCGACTCGGCTGTTGATCCTGATCAAGAATATATATACTTTATATAGTCGGAGGTGCCTCCTTCACTGCGTTGCAAACTTCTGACTGAAATTATAATACCCTGCAAGGGTATAAAAAGCAAAAGGAAAATTGCCACTGTTTTTCTTTGTCCAGCTCTTCTTCTTCTTGTCCGCTCTCGACCATCAAAAATAAAATGTGGCAGTTGTGGGTGGTGTTTGGTGGTTGAAGGGTTGCAACAAATGAGGCAGAAAAGAAAATGGGGGGAAGTGAGGAGGCTGAAAGAAGCTGCTTGGCCATATAAATTAGCCAGAGTGGGCCCACTTGAGTATGCCAGAAGCAATGTGTGAGTCTGGAACTCATGGGTTGAGGGGAAAGCCAAGAGCCATTTAGCATATTTTGTTGTAGCATTTCCCTTCTGTTTTTCTTTTTTTTCTGGAGGGTGAAGTGAAGTGGAGTGGAGTCTGCGCCCTTCAAAGGGGGGGAAAATAAGAAAACCCCGAATGATTGACTCACCCGGGAAGCTGGAGTATGTGAAACTTGAAAGACGTACTGTGAACTGTGCTAACCAAATAAATGCAGTTGAGTCAAGTTTTTAATTTGCATTAACATCAGGAGGGCTAAGACGTCACGGAGCTGCGCTATCTTTTTCTGCTGCCACAGCAAAACATTTTAATTTTACGCCACGACTCACAAAGAAAATGCCAGCAAACACAGGTACACTGTGGAAAATAAAATTATACATTTAAATATTTCGTGGAATTTAAGAATATTTTTTTGTAAAAGTCTTAGAAGTAAAAAGTTGAAGAGGGTTCTAGGAAATTTCTTACTTTTTGTAAAGACTTTTCCTTTAAGTTTGAAATTAATTTTAAAACATTTCTTAGCATTCTTTCTTTTAATATTTAAGTGGCATAACCATTTTCTTTCTGTGTACCTACACACCTCATGATGGCAATAAAGTGGCAGTTTCATCTGCGTAAAACTCGTGCGAACGCGACAAATTGCCCCAAGGACGGGGGCACAAAGTTCTATCCCCACCGAGTGGCTGTGGAAAAACCACCCTCAAAAACCACCTTAAAACCCTCCCCCGGTGGCCACTGCACCGGCTTAAGACAAAGCAAATGCCCCAAAGGATGCTACCGGAGGAAATGGATGCTGGAGCGGGAAAAGAAATGTAAACATCTGCATTTATGACTTTTGCGGCTGGCTAATCTGATGTTGAGTGTGTGTCACAGGACACAAAGGAGGGACGAGGAAGGAAGGAAGTTCAAGGAGTGGCAGTGGCTTGGTTGCCTTGGGAACACATTAGAGCCACCCTTTCCAAAAGCGGCAGCCACATGGCCCTGGACTCCTCCTCAGGCAACAAACATGAAACAGAACTCGGATACAAAGTCTCGGTACTGGGCTGGCGGAGATTGTAATTAACATAGAATTAATATCAACACAAGACACTGGCAAGAGTAAACGGAACAGGACTTACAGGATCTTAACTGACACTGTTTGAATTGCTGCTTGCTGGTGTTGTTGTGTCTGTGTGAATCTTGTAGCAGGTTTTGGAGGTAAACGTTGAGTATATTACGCTTTTATATTTATAGAGACTTGAATACCTTCTAGTTTATTGGAAGAAGTACAAAATTTTAATTAAATAGGGTATATTATTTAAACCCAGCAGAAATGCTAAAGCATATTCACTCCCATCTAAATAACTTAAAGTCCTTGATAGTTCTAAGCATATAATTCGTTGATATCTTTAATCACTTTGTGATTTGTTAAATAACTTTATTAATGATCAAGTTACTTGAAAATGTGACACAGTATTTAAAAAATAGGTAAACACGGTTTTCTTATAAACACAATGCTTTAAAATTATTGTATAATTTGTAACTTTATTATCTGTTTGCCAGCAGCAGGTGTTTAATTCCATTGCGATTTCCTGTCCCTTGGCCATTGACATTTGTGCTGGACACAACAATTATCAATTAAATCGTGTCAATTACTGGGCAGAAGAGAAGAAATGTGAATAAAAACACATAGACCGACCATTTGTTAACCGCGTGTAATTACAAACAGCGAGAACGCGAACAAATTGCAAACATTTTATTATTTTTGCATAGCCAACAAGGGCCTGGAGAAGGCCAAGGAACTGCGTTTTCCATTTTCCATTTTCTCCCATTTCCCCCATTTGTATTCCCTTTGGCCAACTCGTGGTTGTGTTGAACAAAACGCAACATTTTCAGTAAAAAGGAGGCAGGCAGCAGAAGCGGCATAAATGTTAACGGTTCTACACATGTTAGATGCAACACCGACACGCAGAGTTGCAAATAGTTTTACCTGCCTTACACATTGTAAATGCACTTGAAGAAAATTGGTCATGGAATACTACACAAATTAGAAGTAAATCATAGGTTTATATAAAGAAAAAGAAAAGACTTGCCGATTTTTACTGGGTTTATATAGTTGCTAATTCTAACATAAATATTGTAAAACATTAAATGCTGTTTCTCATCAAAGCTATATCTATTAGATATATATTTAATATACTTTAAATACCCTTAAGTTCTTCTCGAACTGTGTTGCAACCAATTATTTGGCACAGTGTCGTTTTGGCCTATAATTATGTTGCTTCCGATGTGCCAGAATACGAGGCGCGACGCATTAAACAAGGCCCCAGACAAAGGAGGCTTCTCCCCGGAGGATCTGGTTCTCCCGTCGCATTTGTGTCTGTCTGTTTGTCTGGCAGCCAGCGTTGCCTTAATTATGCGACAGCCAACAGTGCTGGCAACACCCAGCAGGGGCAGCAGCAACAACATGCAACAATATGCAACACCCAGCAACAGCAGCAGCAGCAACAACTGCAACTCCCATGTGCCAAAATTGGTTTACAGACACCGCACGGGGCGAAACTCCTCCTTCGGTCTCCCACCGGATTGATTTATAGGTTCCTCCTTTCATCCTCATCCCCCCATTTTTGGGTGGGAAAATGGTAATCTTATTTAAATTGTTGCCAATTTAAACGCGTCAATTTGGCTATCGGCCAAAAACAACCTGCATCATCCCCATTGGTGACTAATTAAAATACGGCTTGGATTTGCCGGCTGCCTGTTCCATAATTTATTTACGCTTTAAGTGGATTTTTAAATCCTGATGAATTTTTAAAGCGCTTTTGCAGATTGATAATTGTCTGCCTAATTATATAATCGAATGTTTAATTAAAAAAGTGTAATCGCAATAAAATTGCTGCGGGTTTTTAATTAGTAGTATTATAAAGTTTGTTTTTTTTTTGGCAATTAAAGAATTGCATAGGGAAAATATTTACGGGTATAACAATCATTAAAAAAGAAAAATGTTTATGTTTACATTATTTTAATCAGTAAAAGAAGTCCGAAATTGCAGCAAAATGGTGTAATTCAATAAATAAGGTTTACTTATCATATACTATATATTTTCTCAAACAACTTTTCACCCAAATTAATAATTCCATAATTGTGAGTTTAGCCATTAAATCAATTTAAATGATCCGAACAAAATGGACACTATTTGAACCCATATAAAATTATAATACAGAATATTAGTTGAAACGCTTCTATGGGTTTTAGGACATTAAATAAATTGCTATTTCCATAAATACTTAAATATACATATAAGTACGATTTATTGCGACCACACATAATTCTCACACTCATTTTATCTGTCATTGCAGTTGAAGCGAATCAGTGTCAATCAAGGCGGGGGAAAACGACAGAAATTTCCCAAAATATGCGCCGGCAAATACAATCGTCGGACGCTATAATGAGCCATATCAGTGAACAAATATTATCAATACCAACAGCCACTCGAATGGGAAATGGCCAAAACAATGAGCAGCATCATCAGCAGCATCAGCAGCATCGTCATCATCATCAGCGGCAGCACTTGAGTAAATAGAAAATCAGCGTTCAGAATCAATACAGAATCAATACAAATAGTGAGTGGAAGATAGACGGAAATTGATTGTCAACATTATTCGGTGTCGCGCTGCCGAGCAAAGCCCTCAATAGAGATTGCAAAGAAACCACCGAAGCGAGCGACGAACAAAGGGAATCCCCCAGCGAAGAAATGGGCGGTAAGCATCACGGATCCGGCGGTGGATCCGGAGGACCAGGAGCCTCCTCTGGAGGTGGCGGTAGTCTCAACTCGAGCCTGTGCAACTCGGTGCTGACAAATGCCACAACGGCCAGCAACAGTCTTACGCAGCAGCAACAGCAGCTGCAGGCCAAGTACATCAAGTCGAAGCGGCATCAGAGCCGCTACACCAGCCTCCAGCATCCTGGCCATGATTCTGGCAGCTATCTGCACCTTAATTCGCTCTGGTCCATCTGGTATGGGGTGTTGCTTACCCTGTTCCAGGGATACCTGGCCATGCATGGAGCTTACAGGTTCCTAGGTGAGTTTAAGCAACAGTTTGCTAAGGTTTTTTTGTGAGGTTTAATATTAAAATATAGGAAATATATTAGTAATCCTTCAGTAAGCAGGGATTTCCGGTATTTTTGAGTTCCAAAATCTATATAGTAAATTTCTTTAAAGATTTTAATTAAACATGTTTTGATGGAGCTATAAAAAAGTGTTTAAAAAACTACCATTCAGAATATTTTTTCTTGATTTATCATTATTTTTTGAAGCATTTTCGGTTAATAAAAATGAAAATAAAATACATCAAATATATTATCATTTTTTCTGATATATTATTTAATTTATTTATTTACTTTTATAGGCTGCTCACTGATTCCCTGGAAAATAGAGCCCGTGGCCGAACTAAATCTGCAGATAGTGCTCTCCGGAGTGGTGTTCATCCTTTTGCCAGTCTTTTTTACATCGGCAGTGTTTAAGGTGAGTGGTTTTTTGCTGTGGTTATATTGTACCAATAGGTTTTTAACCGGGATCATGCTCCTGCAATAATTAACTGTGTAGTGTTCGTCCTGGGTGTGTATGTGTGTTTGTATTTTGTGTGTGTGTGTGTGCTCGGTTGCACTCAATAATTAAATTTTTTGTGTTGTCTGCCTGGTGCTCTCCTCTCCCCCTCTTCCCCAGCTGCCTTTGTGTTTGTGTGAATTATTTTTAGTGGCATTATTCTCGTTATTAAATTTATTTGCAAACAAAAACAGCAGCAGAGGAGCACAAACAGAAGCAGGATCAGGACCAGGACCAGAAGCAGCATACGTTGCAGGTCCTTTTCAGTGCATCCAGCAAAATGGCTGACGACACCCAGACACACTCGTGGCGAGAGTGTCCTCCATTTGTGTGTCCTGTGTGCTCCCCCCAGTGTCTATGTTTTTATCAGCATAATAAATGCAATTATGGCTTTCCCCCCATAGTATTTTCCCCCTGGTCTAGCCATGAACTGGACCCCTTTCCCAGTGTACATACATACATATATGCTGTTCGGTAGTGTTTTATATTTATCATCTATATCTATGAAGTGTATGGCAGACGGCGATGATGGTAGAAAAACTCAATAGAAAAATAGAATCACCGACAAACGGCATTTACTCCACCACTTTTTAGTCCTTTCCCTTCTACTTCGACTGGTAAAAGCCACTTAAAATGAAAGACAGGCAGGACGAAAGGTAAAGAAGGCGAAAATGCACTGCAATATATTTATTTTGTGAATGTTAAAATGGTTAAGTAATAAATAGTTGGTGTCGATTCGAAGATATGGAATTTAAGGGAAGTGTTACACTGTTTAGAAGTTACTATTATTGATAATACCATAAGAAATGACATTCGTTTTTGGAAATATATGTATTTTATTTAAGATTGTTAAAGGATTTATTTTAATATTAATCTAGGAAACAAAAATAGCCTCAAGTTCTAAAGTTAATTATAAAGAACCAGGAGTAGAAATATAAATAATATAATTTAATAATCACATTAAACATTTACCAAAACCAATTGTTTTTATATATATTTATTATACTTTAAACCAAAATACCTTATTTTATTTCCCCAAAGATTTTTCTTCAGGTTTCTCTGCTGTTTCAGTACTGTAGTGGCTGTCATTCCATATCCTCGCCCCCATATCCTCGCCCCCGTATCCTCGTATGTTGTGTTCTGTCCCCTTCTTCCCTGTTCCATCTGAAAGTTTTCACAAATAATTGGCTTGTTTTTAAAACAAGCGAAATGGAAGGAAGCTGGAAGGCATCTGGTGTGAGAGATTGGGAGTGGGAGTGGCTCCTGTATATGGTCACTGACTGGCAATGGACTGGGGCCATTCGAAGTGACAGCAGACAGACCATAGATCCTATCACGGGAAGTCCTTTTCCCCTGTCTACACCCCCCTTGTCATCGAAAGCATAATTCCATTAAGCGTCTGCTCGAGTTGATTATACTCCTGTTAGAGTAAGAGTATTATTACCTGGGTAAGGGATATATACTTATTCGTGCGTTTAATTAACTTTTTTGTTTACTGTGCTCTTTTTGTTTTACCAAGTTTAAGGCTTTAGTTTAAATTATTAAAGGTCTCAATAAAAGTTGAAGTAGGTTATAAGGTTTTTAATTGGGTTGCTACCTCAGAAGTTGTATCTTTCAGTTACTGTAGTATTTGTTTTTATTTTATTTACTATTAAAACAGACGTATTTTTTAGCCAAAGTCCTTGCCAATTGATTTTAAAATTAATATTCATAGACCCGTCACAAAAATCTCTACGATGACTTTTCTCCAATACAAAAGAGTATACAAATTGTATGCAAATATTCCCTTTTCGACCACCGCCAGACAGCCACAAAAGCGGCAACAGCATCAACAACACGAAAAGAATCATCAAAAGCGACCAAAAAATGCTTGAAAAAGCTGCCTATCAGTCAGCGGCCAGACAGAGGGCGATGAAAAGCAAGGAAAAGTGCGGGAAAATGGGGGAAAAACTACCAAAAACCGCCAACGAGCAGAGTCATAAAAGGGGTAAAAATATAGTGCTGACACTGAGTAGTACAAAAAAATAGCAATAATTTATTGGTAAAAATATAAATGGGAAAATTTCAATATTATAAGAACATGTACTATAATATATTTTAGTTATTTTTAATAATATTATTTTATAAGTATTTTAATTAAAATTTATTTATTTAAGGGACCTGAAACTTCTCGATTTTCTTTTATTTAGAATAAGTAGACATTTTTTGTAGAATTTTTGTTTGACAACAACTTAAAGACACTTGTTATACCCTTGCAGTATAAAGTATATATATTCTTGATCAGGATCAACAGCCGAGTCGATCTAGCCATGTCCGTCTGTCCGTCTGTCCGTCTGTCCGTCTGTCCTTCTGTCCTTCTGTCCGTCTGTCCGTTTCTACGCAAACTAGTCTCTCAGTTTTGAAGCTATCTGAATGAAACTTTGTAGTTAGCCTTCTATATACTCTCACTCGTATATATGTCGGAACGGGCCGGATCGGACGCCTATATCCTATAGCTGCAATAGGAATGATCGGTAAATTTTTACAAAAAAAATTTTAACTTTTTCAGTTTTCAATAGAATTGGATCAAATTTAAGATATGGCTATTTTACTATACTCTATAATTTTGCATTAAATTTTATGAAAATCGGACTACTATATAATATAGCTCCCATAGGAACGATCGAGAAATTAATACAATTAAATTTATAACTTTCTCAGTTTTCAGCTGCTTTTCATCAAATTTGAGGTATAGCCATTTTATATTAGTCTTAAATTTTGTGGTAAATTTCATGAAAATCGGACGACTATATCATATAGGTGCCATACAAACGATCGTTTGATGTAGAGAAAGAATGCAAATCTGTGAATGTAAAACTGCAAAGATAATATGTATAGGTGAATGAAATGAAAGCAGGTATTACTTCATTGTTTTTTAACACAAATATATATAATTTATATTGTATTGATTCCTATTCATAGAAGTTCTATCTGCAAGGGTATATAAACTTCGTCGTGCCGAAGTTAGCTTCCTTTCTTGTTTTTTAATATTTTTCTCTATTGTGAAAATAAAAGCTCTGTAAAAATGTCAAATTGCCTGCACTGCCAACAGACAGATAGCGGAGGGGATTGTGGTCCATCACACGTTGCCGAACATTTAATAAAAGGCAACAGCAAGGACAACGAAACAGAAATTGGTTGCAAACTAAAATCCCAACCATTGACCATTGAGGCGTGGCTATCGGAGTACAGCCAGAGACTCGGAGTCCTGAAATCAGAACGGGGACACAACTGGGAACAGAAGTTCATAGTTTTAGCTTTAGTTTCTCGCCCGCAGACCCACAGACCAGTCACAATTACGACCACTCTCCTTCGGGCTGGAGTTTGTGTCGCCCGATAAGGCTTTTTTTGAGGGGGCAATTGGAAAGTGGGAAAAGCGGTGGTTGCTGAGGGAAAGTCATGGAAAAGTCGGCAAAAGAGCTAGCCAACAACGGAGCTGCAAACTGTCATCGCCATAACAACGAGATGCGAAAACTTTGTGACTTTCATATTTGCACAGCATTCGAAATTAAACGAATGAAACGATGGGGTGGCAGAGCAAAACCACATCCCACATATCCCCACATCCTCATATCCTCACATCCCCGTATCCTTTATATATGTGTGGAAAAGAACAACTAACAAAATGGTTGACCAACACCTACATACCTTCCTCCCCTGTGAGGTGTTTTCGAGTGAGAAACTTTGAAAAGCCGGAAACGAGCTGGTTGATTTAGTACTAGATGCCAAAAGTTTATGATCCTCATTGTGAAGTCTATTAAGGATTATATTTGTTTCATTACATCTTTTTGTAGAAGGTACTTCTTGGTTTTTAATGTTTGTATTTTAGTATATATACTTTATAGCTTTTTAATATGCTATATCTCATAGGATTTCCCTACTCCGTATATGTATATTTCAAGTTTCCTGCTTTTGTAGATTTAACTTTCTGGTTTAGCTTTATTTACGTCTCATAGCCACCAGAATTTTGTAAACCGTAAACGTTAATGAACGGCTGCACCGCATTTCGACAAGAATTTTGAGTTGATTCGTCGGCGGTGAAGCAGCCACGAAATGTTGGCACATTTAAATGCATTATCATTCTGGCACTCGGCTCAAACCACTCACTCCCCTTGCCGCCGGCTGTGTGCACTTCAAATGCATTTTCGCTTTTTGCAAATTGCAATCATTGTTGCTGCTCGAAACGGAACGAAACCAAAACCAGACGAACCAAACAAAACCGAAACCGGAGCGGCATCAAAACAAAGTGAACGAGTGGAGTTGTTGTTCCATTTTGCTGCTTCCTGGTCCTGGCTCCAATTTCATCCTTATTTCCAGCTCCAGATGGAGATGGAGATGGAGATTCACCTCGAGCCGAAGCTCCTTCATCATGCTGATGTCTGCTTGTTTTTAATTTAAAAGCCCGACAGCTCGCATTTATTTATATAACGTGCACGTGATTTTTATGCTCCTTTATTTTTTATTCTTCCATCCGCGCAAAATAAATGGCAAACGAGCGTGAGGATATATACATATACATACATTTAAGGGAAATAATAGATGCATGTATATTGCATGTGTTAGCGTATATAAATATTTCATTTTGCCATTTGTCACGTGCAACGTTTCCTTTATTTAGTTGCCTGTTGTTTATGCGCCAACGCGTCGTATGCGCAATGCTTTGGTTTTTCTCACGCCAACGCCGCGTGCCCATAAAAAATGCATTAAAACAGGCACTTTTTGTGCGTTTCTTTTTTTGTGCTGTTTTGGTTTTTCATTTTACACATGTTCAATTGAAGTTTCGTTCTGCAGTTTTCGTGAATTTTGTATGTGCATATAGTTTTCACTATTAATTGCCTCAAGCCCCAAGGACACTAAATTGTCATTCTCTCTGTCGGTGTGCGGTCAACCTCACTGGTTTTGCAAGGATATAGCTCTGACAGTCCCTGTGGCCAGTTTGCCTGTTGCCAGCAATTATGAAGTGTTTTTGTCACACGAAACAACTGGATAATTTATGCAGCAAATCTACTGATTGAACCAGAGTCAGAGAATTCGAGTTGTGAAGCTGCTAATATGCATAAATTATTGGAAAGTCTGATTTTGATTGGTATTGAATTATAAGAGAATCTCCACCAAGGAAGCTTTACATATTGTGGTGTTCGTTTTAACACCATTGTAGTTATCTCAACAAATTCAATGAATAATCTATTAACATTCTGCAGCATTTTCGATTTTCAATTGAACTAATTACTTGGAGTATTTATAGTTAGTCAACTTTTACATAATTACCTCAGCTTTACATTTTCCACCCATTTAACATATATATATTTTTTCAAATCAGGTTTTAGTAATATATTAAGCTATTGGCCGTTTCATTAATTAACTTAATGACTGGTTTTGGATATACGTTTTTTATTATATTGAATTTTCATTTTTCACAAATGGGAAATGCCATTGGCTGATTATTTAATTCAATTAAGTTAGGATATAATGCAATTTTTTATATGCTAGCTGTTCTGTCCTTTACTAAATTATTTTACCTTATATTTGAGAAAATTAAATTGCATATGTATGCACATTTGCCAGGAAGTTGAGTGCATCTTGGGGGAAATTTTCAATTTCCGTTTGTGAGCCAGAAGCGAAAGCGTGCTTGAATCAATAACACTATTTAACATGTTTTAGTGCATTTTGAGATGCAATATATTTAGAGAAAGTGTAGAAGATTTAAGGAGACGATGAATTGTTTAGTCTTAATTGGAAATATACTCTGCTTTCCAGTTTATTTTAATAATATTATATGTTACTTTAAAACTATTAGGACATAGATATATTGATCTGAGAAAAGTTAAGCTGATTAAATACTATTTGTATTGAACTCAAAATTTAATAACACAAACATAAGATCTCATCTATAATGAAGCCATCGTGTTACTTTTTATTTTTTTTATACTTAAACATTTAAATTGTTCACCAAAAGCCAATTTAAATTAAAACCAAACCCATTTGTGACAGATTTAAATTCAAATTCTGAACAAATATGCCTGGAAACTAGTGTAAGCATTCATTGCCAAGTCTGCTGACCCCCTAAACTTAATCCCGCCCAAATGGCAAATCATTTGCATATGTGAACTATTTTGGCACACACACTCTTGGCACGCACACTCCATCTCCCCTCCCCTCTGTTCCGACCCACTGAATCTGAACTGCATATTATATTTTAATAATCTCAAAATTCTGTGAACTATTCGTCGACAGGTTGGCAACTTGGCGAACGATGGCATCAAACTGGCCACCGGTGCCAGGGAGCGACGGTGCACTCTCTCGCCGCAGGATGGCCTCGAGGAGGAATCGCGGGGCGGCACCCTGCGTGCTTTGTGGACACATGGTGGACCCACGGCGGCTTTTGTTCACATCCTGATTGCCCTGTGCCTGCTCCTGCCCCGACTCCTGCTCGAGGCTCGCATCATTGAGAACGGATTGCTGCCGAAAGGTAAGCTTAATTAACCCGGGGGCACAAACACACATTGCATTGTATGGACGAAATCAAGAGCGGAAGTAGCCCATAAGTATGCAACGGAAATGGGACAATGCGAAAGCGCAGGAAACTGTTGCGAGGGCTATGGTTCTTCTTCTTTTGTTTTTTGGCACTTCCGGGGGGTTGATTTTCAATTATTGAGATGATTGTTTATTTACTTTTGTGAGTTAAGGAAGTTCATGTGTTTGGAAATTGTTAAAAATTAAGAGGAGTACGAATTGTTGGAAGAAGATATATACAACATAATAGTTTCTACTATATTACATTAAACCACTGAAAAATAACAAAGAATAAAACCTATTATTTATTATTGATAAGGACAAACAAGGCAAGACTTTTGTCTTTAAAATATTTTACGAGCAGATTAAGTCAGCCCATTCCCATCTATCTATGGAATAAGTTCTTCAAGTTCCCCAAGTACAGAAAAGTGTCACTGAAAGGGTACTCAAACTTTCGACGCCCCCAAAGTGGCATCTTTCAGTGATGTTTTTCTTTTTTTTATTGCATGTCGATTATGCATTTCCCGCGGAAAACTGGAGGGGAGTAAGAGCAAATAACCCGCGCACAATGTTGCCGAGCACGAATTGCATTTATGGCCATTTTCATTGTTGTCAAGCATACGCCACGTTGTACATTGTCATATTGATGATGGGCCATGAGTCGCACGTTGACAACTATTAAAATGAACATGAGTGCCATCGATGGGTGGGCTTAAATCAATCATAATTCCCATTGTCAATTTAATCAATTCATTCAGCGTTTTAATTCCCATTTATTGTCCTTAAAACGAACTGAAATTGCATTCAATTTGGGGGATCCTTTTGGGAGGCTTGCCTACTGGCGGACCAATTTAAATATGTTGCCAGCGAAACTGTTTAACCAAGAAGTTTAGGATGCTCCGAAGGACGCTTAACAAAGTGAACTTGAGGGAATATGCGAGGGAAGCCCGAATAAAAAAACTGCCGAGGAGCAGCCTGAAACAGCAGCTTCAAAGGAAATCGCTGGGGAAATCTGCTGGCCAAACATCTACACTCAGAATGTGTGTGTGTGTATATGTGTGTATATGCATGACCGCTCAGCAAACAAAAACACAAGCGAAGGAGCGAGCACACAGGCTAACAACCGCAGGAGTAAACACTACCCACACGGGCACACGGACCACGGCCAGGACAGGACAGGATAGCATGAGGGGGGGAGCACCAGGTTGACAGGGAACGAGGTGCGCCCATTATGGCCAGCAATAAGCCATGTTAATAACAAGGCAAGCGGCAACGTTGCCAGCGGAAGCCAGACCAAGCGACCCAAAACTGTGCAAATGTTGGCCAACTGACGGCAGGACACCCGTCGAATGAGTCCTGGGCCACAGCAGTCGTTGCAGGCCTCTGTTTGTATATCATCCCAGAGGCCCCAATGTGTGTTTGTATGCCTGTGTAGAATCGGATCGAAGGGACTCACTCGCATGATGCTGTCGTTCTAGCACAGTAAACTAATTCCACACTTAATGACAGGCGGAAAAAACATGTAAATGAAAATGCAAACTTAAAATTAGCTGAAACAACATGAAGGGGAATTCGTTCCCGAGAAAATAAGTCTTTAAAGATCCATTTAAACAAAATTCCTTTTCAAAACTAAGCCGGAGAAATAGTAGTAAAAGATAAATAAGTAATTAGAGCTCTTATCCATAAAAAATTTCCCCTTTTACAATTTATCTTTCATTCCAACGGAAGCAAGGAAATTCTTTGATAGGTTTCAAGAGAAAATGCGTTGAATACTCTAAACTCCTTTATACAATACCTCGTTTCTCACAGGATTATATAGACTGTCCTCCTTAACTTTCTAAAGCACTTTACAAAGTTCACATATTCTGCACATAAAAAACGAACGTGGAAAATCCGCTAAATGGCCACGAATGGGAAATGTTGGATATTGACTGGTGGGGATTGGGTGATGCAACAATGATGGAAGGCTACGTCGGCAGGCAAATCAAAATTAACTACACTTGAAGTGAGTCCGAGTTCCATTCGAAGTATCCCACGGACAGCAGTTGGTAGCGAATTGTATGGGGGTTTATTGAACCAGTGAAGGAAAACGGAAAAACAGAGAAAAGCGAAATGCAGCAAGTCAGCGTAGGACTGCCCACAGTTTTCATCCTGTCCGCGCCGAGTAAATTAAAAATGTGGCATCGACAGCGGGGGCATCGTGCTGCAGTGGCATCATAAAAACCATGACGAGACGAGGGTTTAAAGTCGACTGACTGACTCACTGGCATGCTGTCCCTTGGTCCTTTCCATGTGATTTTTCAATTAATTTCGTTGTTATTTTTTGTTGTCTCATCCATTGCACCTCCTGCAGCTGCTGCTACTCCTGCGATCTCTTGTCGCCGGCAGACATTTTGCGGGTCTCGCATCTCTCGAAATCCATGCTGGGCGGGAAATTGTTTCTCCATCCCTTGCTGCCCGCTCTTAAATTAGAAAATCATTGGCACAAAAATAAAATGTGCAGTCAAAGGCAAAGTTGCACTTGGCGAAATGGAGTGAATGGGGGCTGCGATGGGACCGGATGGGATCGAAGGGAGCAGTTGGTCAAGCTAAGTGCAATGCCTTGTCGCGCGACTCCTTTTGGCCGTTTTCACGCTTGGCTAAATGGCTTTCCTTGGCTTTTTGCACCCTCTTTCTGTCGCTTCACAATTTGTCAACGGCATTCTGACATTCTTAAAGACTTAAGCTGGCTGTAAGATTGGCCTGTCGTGGCCAGTTGATGATGAGCTTATGTCTGTAAGTTGAGAATTATAATTTCCGGCGTGCAATTAGGAAATTATCCGCTATCCCTTAAATGATTGACAGGTCTTGAACAAGAGCTGAAAACTGAAAAGTTAAAGGCTAAGGTAACTAGTTATGTACGCAATTAGGCTAAAAGAATCATAAAAAATTCCTTTTAAAACTTTCCCTCAACTCACATAAAAAAAAGGCTGCAGGGAAAAGCCATTAAAGAAGAGGCAGACAGTGAATGCATTTCATTTCATGATTATGTTTCATTAAATTCACCCAACATTATTAACGACTTCTCAGAAATTGCGTATACGCAATGTGGGCCCAGGCAGCTGTTAAAACTGAATCAGAAACAGGATGAGAAGGAAAAGCGAACAAATATTTCTGAAATCTCTTCAACATACTAAAGTCTTCAAGATATTAAAATTTCGCAGGCCCAAAGTAAACGGAAACTTATTAAAATAATATAATAAAAAAGTTCCCAAACAGCCGGCAGCTGTCGTCAGCAGTGAGAAAAGAAAAAAACAAATAAAGCTTTAGATATGCCTCGTGGAAGTGGTCACAATTCATTAATTAATCTCATTTATAGATGACACAAAAATCACTCGAAACAGACCATTTATGGCGAAATCACTTATACGCCATGGTGTACTCATAAATAATTAATTCAGACATCTCGGGCGGGAAAACAAATGAAAATTTAGATAAGATAGGGCGAGTGGATGGATAACAGTAGGCTCCTGCCAACAGTGCGCCATATTGAGCGCATAAAAGGCTGCTAAACAGGCTCGCTCAGATTACCACGAGTCCTGGGTAGGGAGGGGTGGCGTTTGGGGGTGCGATTGAAGACGGGGGTGGATTTCCCAGACGGGTGGTCCGGAAGTGGCTAAAGACATTGGCCCCGGACTGCCCACTGGGGCGGCACAGCAGCCGGTAAAATAATATAACTAGGATAAAGATGAATCCTTTAATACTTGTAGAAGTTCAAGAATAAATAAAATTACTTGTCTGTCTTATCATTTAAACTAAGCATCTTTTAAATGTATTTTGAAAGTATATAATAAAAAGTTATATTAGAAACCGTTTAATATAATGAAAAATCTATTAATTTAACTGCAATTGTACCTTTACTCTGGCTTAGGGCCGAGAACTTATCATTATTCATGCTAAAGACTTAACGAGCGCGAGTTTGAGATGGCAGCAGGAGGCGGCAGGATCAGGATGTGGGTTCGTTCCTTATCGCAACTATTACCGCAGCGGGGAGGCAAGCGGATGCGGGGGAAGTCCCTGCCTCCGGTGGGGCGTGGCCCGGGTTGGATTTGCGCATTTTCATTACTCTTATCCTTAGAGCTGTGGACCGCTCCCGAGCTTCGTCGTTCGTCGTTCGTCGTCCTTCGTGAGTCCTCCTTTTGGCCGCTCATTCTCGTTGGTGTTATTGTCATTGCCATAATCAAGGGGGAGTCGGAGGTGGCAGGCTGTCTCAGCCTGGCAGGAGGACTTTGCCTGCGGGTTAATCTTCAGATTCTCGGTGTTGTCGGTTTTACGAGCCACTTGCCGCTCCGGCAGCATCGTCGACGACATATTATTATGGCATCCATTGTTGTAATTCCGCCTCGGTTCGTGTCTTTTGGTCTTCGCCCTCGGTTTTGGGCCATTGTCTTTAATATTTGCTCAGCAATTCTCTCATTTTGACGGGTGTTTTTCTTTTCTTTTATTTCTTACCGCCCGCCGGGTAAGTATCCTTAAAGCCTTTGCAAAACCCAACTAATAAATAATTTTATGAAAGTGTTAACTTGGCGATTTTCCGCTTTTCTTTCTCTTAACCGCTCCATTATCAACTAGGGCACTCTCTCTCTGTCTATATAAGAAATATCTGTATGCCATGAGCAACATCATAAAGTAAACTAATTAGAAAGCTTTTTAGGGAATTTTCACAAAGCTCAGCGGCATCTTAACTGGGCTAAGACAAACAAATTTTGTGGCTTTGAGGCGGCTTTAATTGGGTTTAATGTCTATAGGAGTTCGAAGCTGTGGTATGAGTTTGTGAGTTTTCCAGGAATGCCCAGAGGGTTTGAGCGGTGTAATCAGGTGGAATATTCCTAGGGGTCCGGAAAAGTTATCTGTCTGCACTGTTAATACAAGTGTCCGTGAGTGATTGCTTTTCAATTAACATGTTCAATGTTTTGGAATTTACCCAAAGCCTGCTAGTTTACTACAAGAATACAAACTAAAGGATAGTATGCTTTGTGGCATTTAAATATTTGTTTAAATATTTTTCCTTGAATTTCTCCTTTATTTTTTACGTTAACAAATGATTTTGATGCTCATATCGCTCTTGCAAATTCGGAACTCCTTTACACAGACGGATTTGAATCTCAATTCCGCTTGACCACAAATATAAATCGAGGAATGGCAAATCCTTTGGAAAATCCCCATTTCCCAGCTCATTCCAACAAATCGCACCACGAGGACACAGTAATAAACATGGATATTAGGCTTGACCCCGGGAGCAAGAGTTAAGCCTCTGCAGAGCACTGAATCCTGCAACATAAATGGGTTATATACATACATTATATGAGATGGGGTATATGGTAGATAGGATAAACAGATCGGGTCCGACACGTACAATGTGTTGCAAATACGCGACTAATTAGGACCTTCAAATCTGGCCAAGAGAGGTGGTGGTGGTGGCTAATGGTCAACTTGTGTGCATTGTTTTGCCATTTGGCCAGAATCGAACTGAAATGGGATTGGCAGAGAAATAGTTTTGTTTTCCTTTTTTTTTTTCTCCCTTTGCCTTTCAATGGCCAACACAATGGTTCGCACAGCACAGCTTCCCTTTTGTCTGGACATTCCAGTTGGGTTTTGGTTAGCTTTTTGCCTTGATTGGGATTAGGGGTGATAGATAGTATCGATATATCGTATCGAAGATGAAGGGGATATTTGTATTATTATGATTATTTTATTATAATTACATTATATAATATATGACAACCTATAAATTTACTTCTAAAGGTTGGGTCAATAGGTTGTTTTATTTGAACATGTTGTCGATCAATTAAAAAAGATTATTTCTTTTGAATAATATAATAATATTGTCAATAATATTATGCATATAATCATGCCTCAAGGCTAGAACCTAGAACCTAAGGCTATTTGGTTCAATAGCAATTCTAAAGTGATATTTTCGATTGACTTTCAATAAATTACTAGCATTGATTTATCTATATCAATGCCCCTTTGATATATGCTCATCTCTAATAAGGATTGATAGGGATTCATTGGGATTCATGGCAATTCGGGCAAAGAAAGTCAGCCCCAAAGGAGGCACCAAAATTTGCTTTCCTCTTTTCCGCCTCACAGACACACTGCCTTCTAATAATCAACTGGGCGTGGATTATAGAGGTCTCTGCCTAGTATCGATGGCTCATTTAATTAACGATTGCCACAAAGATGGAGAGTGGATGAAAATGCTGAAGGCAGATGGAGAATAGTCCTGCATCCTGTTCATTACATCGCCTCATGTTTATTCAAGGGGTGTGTACGAATGAGAGTGTGTACGTTTGTTCTTAACAGGTGCTTACCATGTAATCCTGCGTGATGTGTTCCAATTAGATGCGAAAGCATCTTGCCTGATGCCCGAGTTCAAAGCAATTAATTCTATATACTTGAGCAGCCATCAATCTCAACCCCTGAACTCTGTTTCCGTTTATTGCAGAACAAATTTGGGCCACTGAATTGGACTTTGTTGTGATCAATCGACGCAATTTGATGGCCATGTCGGTGGTGGGACCCACACCCGCATCCGCATCAGGATCCTCCAAGCAGGAGGAGCATCACTTCCACCATCAACAACAGTCCACGCTGAATCTAACCGCAACGAGTTTGGAGCAGGATGAGGAAGACTACTTTAACGATACCATGTTCACGGCTCTCCGAGGAAAACAGGTCCCCTTCCCGGGCTCTGGTCCGGTTGTCGGAGGCAATAACAACTTGTTCGACCTGCGACCCGACAAGACTGCTGCCGGCGGCAGGAAGGCGGCCAAGACAACGGCCACGACCAGGACAACTTCAACGCAACTGGAGGTTGGCAGGGGCCAGTACTTTGAAGTGCCCGATTTAATTAATCAAGATATCGATGAGGAGGAGCGCCAGGAGCTCGAGGAGGCCATGCGGGGCGACAACGACGATGACGACGGGGAGGAGCCGGAGCCGGATCCGGATGAGGGTACCGTCATCATGCCCGATTTCGATGAGTTGATGCCAAAAACAACCGCTGGTGGCAACAAGTTGAATGTGGAAAATTGGCAGACACTCGGGACCCTCGGAAAGGAAAGGAGCACGACCAGCACCAGTACGAGTACTACTCCTTCCACAACCACAAGTACAACGACAGCCAGCACCACGACAACTACAACTACAACTTCAACTAGTAGCAGCACCACAACAACCACCACAGTGAAACCTGCTGTGTTGGCAACCAGCCGGCAACCGCAACACCATCACCATGGCAAGACCCGGAAGCACCACAAGCACCACAATAAAAAGGGACAGCAGCAGACACCGCGTCGCCACCACGTGGCCTCACACGAACAGGCGATCCTCGAGAGCTTTCCGGAGGAGGAGACCACCACCCGTGACAGCAGCATTCATCGCGTGAAACCGGAAGTTCTGCCCGAGGTGCCCATTCCCTCGACACCCGTTTCCACATCCAACTCCAAGATTATAGCCATTAAGCCAAAGAATCAGAAGCGAAGGATCTCGAAACGTGCTGCCGGAGTGGAAATTGAACCGGAGTACTTGCTAGGCGACTCCACCATAAATTCCAGCGAATTTGTGGCCAAGTCCAATGAGGATGAGCCGGAGGAAAGTGAGGACTTTGAGCTGGAGGATGGGGACTTTCAGGCAGTGCCTGCCCTAACCCCGGCTCCCCCAACGCCGGCACCTGGTAAGGGTGCTGGCCAGGAGTACGTCCGCTTGGATGGCTTTGCCGGAATGCTGCAGCTCTTCTTTGGCATTGACAAGCCCATCGATGTGGCAATTTTCTCGCAACCTCCCAGTGCGGAGTTTGTGAATCTGTTGTGTGCATTGCTGGTGTGGTCAGTTCGTTATCCAGCCGTATTTTGGAACACCTCCAAGGCCTTTGCGTGTGTCTTTAGCCTACAGATGGTAGTGGCTGCCCTGGACATCATCCTGGGCTATGTGGGAGTCTCGAATTTGTACAAGCTGCAGATTTATGCCGAGGCCATGCCTGTGCATCAACCGGGTCTCATTCTGAATGCTGTGGTAACGCTTGCCTTGTACCTTCTCTCCACTGCCTTGGTTTTGGCCTCCTCGATGGTGATGTACTTGTATGGACACGGACGCCTGGCCACAAGGATGCGGGATCGCTCGATTATCACATTGAAGAGTAATCAAACCTGGATCTACTTTGCTCACTGCGCCTCCCTGTGCTTTGTCCTGGCTCTGGCGGTGGTAAAGGCACCGCTCCTCAATGATCTCAGTGCCACTTATAAGAACAATCTGCATTGTCCTACGTTTTTAGCGGGTAAGTGTCTTTATTTGAACAAAATTTCATTTTAAATTTAAGTAAATATATAGGGTTCCATTTTCAAACCTAGATTGATTATTCTTTCAAAGTATCCACTCTGCGTTTTATAAAGCTTACAGCCACTTAAGTAACCTCGTAAAATCTGCATAATTCGATAGCCAAATCAATGTGAATTAACATCTTGAACTCCGACTAGTGGTCTGTTTTGTGGTTTAAGCCAATTAGCGACCTTGTTTAGACTTGAGCTTTGGGGTTGACCGGGCCTTAATCGTTGGGGTATATAACCCAATCGACCATCGTCGAGACAAAAGGCGTGATGGGCAAAGGTATTGAGTGTCACTCGAAGCGAGACAATCAAACTGCAGACAGCGTCCAATTAAGCTGTCAGACGCCTGCTGCCTTAACCGAATTACGTTTCAATTTATGCTTCAACATACACAGAGAAAAAGGTTTCAAGAATATATTGAACTGATGATACAAATACAATAAATACAATCTCATAAAAATCACTATAAAAGATTTTATTTGATAGAAGAACCCCTGAGAAATATAAAGTACATTTTTGTATCAAAGAAAGAACCTTAATCAATAAGTTCGTAATATTTTTTTCATTCAGTGTTAAAGAATTCTCGTTCAGTGTTCCTTGAGAAGCCTCAACAAATAAATTCTTATTATTTCTTTCATTTAATATTAAGGAATTCTCTTTCAGTGCTCCTCTCATAACCATTGTCTCGTTCTTCCTTCATTTCTACAGCTCTCGTTGGGGTGACGCACCTGCTCCTGTGGATCGTCATCTGGCTGTGCCTCACAATCAAGCGGCGATGGCACTTCAAGCTGCCTCCCCTGGATAGCTCCTATGGCGGTCTGCTGGGCAAGGCCAGTGCCCAGCCGCTCCTCATGGCCAGCGGTCAGCGGACGGGCAGCAATTCGAGCAGCAGCGGATGCAATTCCACCAGCACCACGGTGAATGGAGGTGACTCCTCGAAGCCGGACATGATGAGCACCGCTACCAGCACGGAGCTGGGCATGGGAATGGGTGGCGGGGGTGGCGGAGGAGGCGTTGGGAGTGGGGTCATGGGATTGGCTGCCCAGGAGGATATCTATTGGCCCAAACTGACGCCCAGTTCGCCCAAGCTGAAGGTCACCTTCAACGAAGTTACGAGTACGTCTGATGATGTCCTACTAATTGGTGACCAAGAACAAACTGATGGCAAGCGGTAAAAAATCGTTTTTTAGCTACAACCAACAAAAAAAATATATAAAAAACAACCAAACAAAGAGCATTGCGGGTTCGAAGCGCCGTACTCCGTACTCCGTTTTTGTCCGTTCTCTTAACTCTAACCTTAGCAACTAGTTTCATTTAGTTTTCGTTCACAAAACACACACACACATATTCTGCACCACCCACCCACAAGACCACAACATAAACCACGCCCGTTTCCAGCACCAAATAATCAGGAATTCCATGTGTTATTTTATTTTTTTGTTTGTTTGTTTCCTAGACTGCTCTCTGTTCATTCATTTGTAATTTATCGGTGTGCTTCCTCTGCACGTCCCATTTGGGGAAGCCCCTGGTTTTAAAAACTAATTGCCCAACACTAGTCATTAGTGCAGCGTATTTCGCCACTCACCTAATTTGCCCCTCATTTTCCAGCACTATTTTTCAGTTTGAATATTCGTGCGTGCTTCTGACATTCGCCACATTTTGCGTTTTTGTTTAATCGAAAGTCTTTTGTTTGTCCACTAAAACGATTGTTATTCCATATATTTAACATAATAAACGATTTATCTATATACATATACTATATTTATATATATAGTGAGACATGTATGTATAGAGGATGAAGGATAATGATGAGAAACTATTTTGTTCCGCTTGTCGCCTGTTTTTTAAAAACGATTCTTTTCATTTCATTTTGTCAATTGTTTAATTTACTAGAACTTAATTACTACTAACTCTAGCTAATTGAGTGTGGGCGAATTGTACTTAACAATTAACAACTAAATAACTACTAAAAACAAATCGTTCGCACACTGTGTATATTGTTGTTGTCGATGTCGCCGTGTTGTTGATGTTTGCCACTATTATTGGTCTTCGTAATTTGTTTAACTAACTGGAAAACCATTGAACTAACACAGACAGTATTAAAACGAATCAATGGGAGAGAGAGAGAACGAATTTTAGAAGCATTTTAAAGCAATTGTTTTAATTTTTAATCAAGATATTTGATGGTCTTGTTAAATAAAATTAAACGAAAACGTTTAAAGTAGCAAGAAAATGTTAAATCAAATTAATAATACTAATACCATTTACACTTTCTTCAGTCAAAGTATAGTTAAATATATTTTTAAATATAAAATCTTAAATATTATTAAATCTTTGATTCGTTCCTCCTTCCTTAAGACCTAAAAAAGCAACCAACACAAGGCGACAATCCTTTCTTGATCCTGCCATCATTCCTAATCACTCTCTATTATCCTTTAGCCATACGAGCCGTGGAGCCTCGATATGTTTTGCCAGTGCTGCGGGGGAAATTGACGACGGCGAGTACGCGACACTAAGAGCAGCAACCGCCGGCGCCGTTGTGGGCATCACAATGGGCAGCATGAAGACAGGCAGTGGTGGTGGCGTCAGTTCCACCTCCGTGGGGGTCAGTCTGCTCCATCTCTCCGAGTACGATGAACTACCGCCGCCGCCTCTGCCATCGTCTTCAACTTCAAACCCCCAGCAACAGCAGCAGCATCAGCAGCAGCGGCATGCCCAATCCTTTGCCCATGGACAGCCCCATACCCATGACTATGCCAACCTTAGTGGATTGGGGGGCATCAGCGACGACAACATCTCCGAGGAGGGCAAACTGCTGGCCTGCGTAAGAGATGACAGCATCACCTACGCCTCCACCAGGGACTTGGAGCCTCCACATCCGACCGCTTCACAGGCACCGCCTCCACCGCCGCCGCTGCCCGTCAAGGGTGGACCCACTCCACAGCCGCCGGCATTGCAGCCTCACCCAGGAACAGTCATCTATGGCCGTGCTCCCCAAGCCATGCCCGAGATGATGCAGTTGTCGCCAGAACACCATCACCCCAATCCACTTCAGCATTCCCTGCAGCACCAGCAGCAGCAGCATCCTCTCCAGCCGCAGCAGCAGCAGCCGCCGCCGCACCATCCTCTCCAGCAGCAGCCGAGCAATCCGCATCAGCATCTAGTCAGCCCCTTGGCACCGGTCACGGTCGCAGTTCACACCAACGAAGCGCATGTAAGTGAAGGAAGTGGAGTGTATTCCTATTGTGGTTCCCGAGATACTCTAACATATTAGTGGGGAATGTCAATTAGTTAGGTAGAGAGGTTACAGGTGGAAGGAATTTCAAGGAAACTTATGCCTCTAGGATTACAAATCATTATTTAATGAAGATTTCTATACATGTTTCGGTGTCTCAAATGATTATTTTACTTTGAAACCAGTTTTTCTTATTTTATGATCTTATTTTTTGAAGAAAAGAATAATCATTCAAAACAATCTTTAACATAGTCAAACGCTTATGAACTTTAAAGATTTGTCTGTCAGATTTCTTCTTTACAAAAGACACAAAACAAAGAGCCAGTTTCTCCTTTAGCTAGGGTATTCCCCTTTTAGTGCAAGGCATAGTGAATAATTTTCTGCTGTTGTTCGTGATTTGCATGTGGTATTGTCGAGGGGGGCGATGCCGCAGTGTTGCTGCGTTGCCATGTAGGGGCGTGTTGCATGTCACGCCCTCGGAGCAACAGCAGCCCCGAGATTTATGTTTGCCGTTATGAGACAGCATAAATCAGTGCCAGGGCCACAGACAGAGACATGGATTGGACTGGGCGACGGCGACAGTGTCCGAATTAGTGCTCCAGTTGATGGATGGCCCTGGGATGTGACCCCACGAATTTGATTTGACTTGATTTCATTTTCACTTTGCAGACCAGGACCAACTGAAGCAGAGACCCTGCCTCCCCTGAATCGTTCATTATCCCAGCTGCTCCTTGACCACTTTCACTGACCTCCTCTGTGTGTCTGTCTATCCCTATCCCCCAGATCGCCTCCAGTTCCACACCCCGTTGCCTGCGACGCGCCGACTCGGGCGTTCCCAATGAGGCGTTGACGCCTCGCAGTGACACCACCTCCACCACCGAGAGCACCAATACCACATCGCCGCCGGAGCGTGCCCCTTCCGAGTCCTCGAGCGGCGTTCACTCTGGCGAGGAGCGTGAACTGGAAGTCATCATAAGGCCGCGTGCCACCAGCAAGCCGCCACCGCGTCCCCCACAGCCGCCCATCCAGGAGGAACCCTACGGTCGCTGCACCAACATGCGTATGTCCAGCTTTAACGCCGATCCACCCACCATCCCGTCGGCAGTCATCAACAGTGCCACGTTGCCGTTGCAGCGAACGGTTCCCGAACAGAGATTCGACTATACGGCGCACTGCAGCACAATGCCGCTGCCGGTGGGCTGCCACAGCCAGCAGCTTGCCGGGAGCGGTGGTTATGCCTCCACCTCGGCGATGACAAGCTCCATGGGCGGCGGGGGGTGCATGCCACCACCGCCGCCGCCGCAAGTGTCCAGCTTCAAGACACCCAGCTTACACTATGCCAACGCAGCGGTGGCCCTGGGCAATGGCAACAACAACGGTGGCCAGCAACCGCACACCACGCTGCCGAATGGAGTGCGATACTCGAATCCACATTTCCTGCGCCGCCTGCCGCATGTGACCAAGGCGGCAGAGTCACCGTATGGACATCTGGGCTATGGAGCCGGTCATCATGCATTCGCCAAGCTGCCGCATGAGACGCATCCCACCATTCCGGAGGATCGTGATTCGGCCAACTATTCAATGGCCTCGGACCAGGACTGTGGACTATATGTGACGGCTCAGCTGCACTAGGATGGGATGGGAGGATCTACTATACCTTACTATAACCTTAGATTCATAGCTTTGCAATACTAATTGCGATACGACATACAAACCTATTCAGTTAGCGAAATACCAGTACTATGTAAACAATTATTTTGCCAACAAATTCAATTAGAGAAGGAATTCTCAAGTTCCAATATTGCAAGGATATTTTAAAAATATTTAATGCAAGAATTTTGACATTTTCTGAGAAAGGAAAAGATTTTTCTTTTATCAAAGTGAAATTGAAGCTGAAATCACATAGCATTAGGATTCTGGAATGTCGTATAGCTTAACCCGTAATGTTCTAAGTTAGCCTCTCGGTTTTTTGTACAGCTCCCGGGCCCCTAAGAGATGCCATACCAAATCCACTTATCTTCCAATGGATCAGCCTGGTGACCGAAACAACCTTCATTTGCTTTGCCCAAACGATGATCCACACACAAGAATGTGGCACCAACCACAACCACTCAGATGACCCACGCAGAAGATTTACCATTTAACTATATCTACATCTAAACTAAACTAAACATCTACGGCTAAATCTAAATAAATATATATTTATATTTATATTTATACATATATGCTATGCTCGTATACAATGTGTAAGATAATAAGCTAATCGTGTTTAAGTAATCAATGTAAACTAAAGTTTATCATATCATATATGAATGAATATCTATCTATAGCTAAGTGTAAGGCCCTAACATATACAAATCTAATCTGAAAAGGAATAAAATATCATAGCTCGATCACGTGCAAGCACTCAAAGTATTTTCCCCTAAGCAATTTCTCTAATCGAATCGAAGAAAAGCAAAAGAAAACAGAAGGAACAAAAGGCATACGAATTTAAGCTGCAATTCTATGGTTTTTACTGTAAGGATACACACTGTAAAATGGCAAATAGTAATTTTATGGCACTAACTAGCCAATAACACGTTATTGCTTCTTCAGCTAGTCGGCATAGATGACAGATATACCCAGCAAGGCTTTCGGCGTATGTACGAGTATTTTCTATCGTCTCTCCAATGCTTACTGTTTAAGAATGAATGTAAAATGTAATGTAACAAAGCGACAATATGAATATATTATCTAATGTATGATACTAATGACAACTATCCACGGCCCATACATACATATCTCACATGCACAAGACTCTTGTCCTTGGACTCCACGCTCCCCATACACCTGCTTATTAAGTTTTTATTTATTGTGTGTCCCCGCGTAAGTAGATAAATATCTTTTGAATCGTATGCTCAATATCGATTTATTCGATAAAGTCGAATCAGATCAGATCAAGATAACCCCTAAATATCCTCTGATCACACTCTATAGAGAGCATTCGATAGACCGGTCGTATTTATTTTCGTTATAAAGACTGATTAGTAATATAATACATTTCGAAATGCACTCCCATCACAGATTGTTTTTTTTTTATTAGAAGAGATCCGAAAATAGCTTGAGAAAATCATAGCAATGATACGATAGAGGATAGGCCATAAATATGTATAGTTTAGTATGTCATCATTAACTTGGTTCCTTTGTGAAACACGCACTAAACTAAACGAAATATCAGCAGCTAAAGAAACAAAAAACTTTTGTAAGATAATTTCAACTTAATTAAAGATTAATTCATAGGAAACATCCAAAAGATCTTGACTTATTTATTAACCTGGATTAGGATCTTTTCTGCGCCAGCGACACCACATGGCGGCGCATGCATCTAAAAACATTTATATTTAAAATTATAAATCAATAAATGTTTAAATTATTTATATATACAATATACGGATTAAATGGTTTATCAATGGTAAATAAAGAAATACCACCGCTTTATGTAAAACCCCAAAGACAATTATCTTTTATTGCGGGTGAAAGGAAAATGGAAAAAATGTAGTTCCAAAACTAATTAAAACTCCACGTTTTTGCTTTATTAGAAAACAATTTTTAATGAATTTTCTTTTTGTTTTGTTCTTTAAATGTTGTTTTTCATTAAATTTTCTCATTAGTTTTAGTTTTACACAATTCAAGTTTCTGTGTTCATCAATATTAATAATGCCTTTGTCGCAATTTTTAATATAATTTTAGTTTGTATTTTTAATTTTTGGTTTTGTTTGATTTTTTACATATTTTTTTCACAGTTTATTGTCGTTTCTCGACCTTCGATTGTTGTCGAGATATTAAAATACAATATAAGTCAGCGAGAGCGCTGGCCGTCGCCTTTTAATCAATTTAGTTCAACATTTTGCAATAAATGATATATTTTCGTGTTTTTTGTTGATCTTGTTCTTGTGTGTATAGTGTAATTACGTAGCCTGTCATTCAGATTGAACTTAGTAAATAGCATTTTGTTTTTTGTATTGGTTGCCATTGAAATAACTTGCCATAATATATCATTTGCGTCATTAACGTTTTCTATATGTTTTTTGTCTCTTTGTCTTTTGTCTTTGGTGTGTGGCTTAAATGTAACGAATTCTATAGGAATCCTAATTAGAATTTCTTGTCTGACTTTACGGTAGAAAATGCCCCTTACAAAATCCTCGTTTTTACCGAGGCTCAAGTGCTTCCTATAATTTTTCCTAACCTTCCGCTATTAAATTCACCAGCCAATCGCTTTCGAAAAGGGCATTTCGTCTACGATCCTGCCAAGGTTGGTTTGTGGTTTTGTTTATCCTTTCGCTGGTTTTCTGATTTATCAAAGCATATCGGAATGATTGCTTAAGTATATCAGTGGAAAAAAATTTAAAGGTAGAGATAGAGAGAGATTTTTTAGAGTAAGAAAAGTTTGTATGGGGCTCGTGAGGAGTGTGGTGGATTATCTATAATGAATGCATGTGTATGCTTCTCTGATTTCTATATCATATAATTAGTTTCTGGAAACCTCGCTGGTAGTTAAACTCTTCCCAAATATCTCTTCCTTTCTGATGTCCGATGTTCAGTTGTTGTTTTGCAGCAACATTTTGAATGCATTTTTCCCAGTGTCCTGGCCTTTCCTTACGTATCTCTTAGTTGTTTATTTCTGATATAGGAAGCTGTTGCTTGGATGGATATGCACATGTCAATATATAATATTTAACTCTGACCCCTTATGTGTGTGCCAACTGTGTGTAACTGCAAAGCTGCTGATGCTGATGTGTGTACTTGAATGAGTGGACGGAAAGGTTCAACTCAATATCCGTAGCCATGAGTGAAGGGAAAAATAATGTGTATTGGTTAGGAACAATAGCTAAGTGTCGTCTCTCATATACATGTCCTTCTGTATATATAAAAGTAACTACTTTAATTCTGTTCTCTGTCAATCTGTCTGTGATATGTTTTGCTGAGAGTGATCCTTTAGACCGGAAATGCATTCCAAAATGTTGCGCAAAAGAACGACGTATCGCAAAAAAAAAGATGCATTAAATTGCAAACTATTCCTCCCATTTCCATCTATGCTAATGTAAGTGTACGTGTATCTTTGGCAAGCAGGTAACGATTTTTACAGCTCACACTATTAACTTGAAGGTACTTGATGCGTTTCGAGGCAAGTTGATTGGAACAAAGGTGTAAAAATGAATTCTATAGCGTCTCTAGTGAAGCGAGTAGGTGGAGCTACAACAAAATCGCAGTATAGTTTTTATTCATAGTTAAATTATATATATCCTATATGTCTGCCTCAAAGATAATATATGTATGTATGTCCCCATCGATGACGGCAAAAACTCAGGCATTTTGGGGTGACTGCGGAGTTTTTGTCGTGTTCGTAGAGGCTAATCATAATCAATAGCTATAAAGCCTAAACTCGAAAAAGCGGTTGGCGGTAATCGGAAATCGGGTATCGGTTAATGGTTATCGGTTTACCGGATGTGGCATGTATGTATGTATGTATGTATGTAGGTATATGCAACGTGTGAGGAATCTCTATATACAGCTTAAGTTTCAGATTCTGTATTATTAAGTTTAACTTGATCATCTCCTCGTCCTCGTCCTTGGTAAATAATTTTGTTCATTTTCGATTCGATTAGTACATATCTCATATCTCGCTTTTTTTAATTACCTAAACTTAAGCTTTTACCTTAGGTTTCGGTTTCATCGATCGTAAGTTAGGCTTATTTAAGTGTTAGTGGTTCTTTGCTTGCTTAAACATTAAATATATTTATGTATATATATCGATTTATATATGTATGTATATATATACTTAAATAACTTCCTCACTGAAAATCTATAACTCCCCTTGACTGATTTAGATTTAGCTATTTAATCAATAAACAATTTATGTCCTTAAGCGCCAATGCTCGGGCTCAGGCTTAGGCATGACTGACATTAGCACTTGAACTTTCTCCACCTTTTCCATTTTATCATTGTTTTCTTTTTTTTTTTTGCTTTTCTTGTTTTGTTTCACTGCTTTTTTTGTATCTTTTTTATCAATAATAGTTTTAAGTTATAATAATCGTAGTAATCGTATTACGCAAATAATAGTGATCTTAGGTGTGTAGTAAAAATTATTTTAAATATGCATAATTTACAAGTATCCTTTTGTCAAATGTTATCCTTTATATGTGTGTACATGTATTTATATATATATATAGATCTCCATTACATCTATCTTGTATCCGCATCCGAAAAGTTTTCTTTAATCATTTTAACCGCTCGGCTTGTGTTCTCTGTTCTCGGTTCATTTAAATGCATTTGTTTTCATGACTTATAAAAATTAGATATCCTTCCAGTTCATAATTTTTTGTAATGTTTTTGTTTTTTTCTTTTTTTTATCTTTAGGTTTTCCTCCGCCGGCGAATAGAAAAAAAAATAGATGTGGACTTAGCCTAGGCCAGCAACATGCCGAATGGGTATCGGGCGGCATCCTGGGAGCCGCTGCTGCAGGCTGACCTTGGTCCTTTGCTATTTGGCTGCAAGGCTGGCAGCTCCAGCCAAGGGTTACTGCAAGGATACGAAAGGATTAGCGGGCGAGCTCAAGGATTATCGATCTGGCGGGTGTTTGTTAATTGTTTTTGAAACGGGCAAAGTGGATTAGTAGCGGCTTTTGAGTTTTTATAGTAAGTATTTACTGGGGTTATTTATCTTAATCGATTCTTTGTTTTTTTGTAGTATTTACTTTTTTTTTTTTTTTTTTAATATTTTTCAATTGTGTAAAATGGCAAAGTGGCGGAATGTCTGGTGTCTATAGCGCACTAGAGAATAAGCTGAAGTTGTAGAGTTTAAATTGATTAATTTGTTTGGTGCACACTTACTGAATTCAGTTCAGTTTCGAGTTGGCTTGAATTGAATTGTGCTTGGGTGCCTAAAGTGTTTTCGTTGTTGTGGTTGTGTTGGTTGGAATAGAAAGCGTTGTTGTGGTTGTTGGTTTTGGTGTTGAGAGTGTTGGAAACTGTTATTCGCCCGGCTCCTCCATAATGACTGACTCGCCGGCCCAAACAATCGGACGACCCTGGTTGTGGTGGTTTCAAAGTTATGTTTGTTGCACTTGTTCGCATTCTTTTGAAAAGGTTTGTTTTTGTAAGAGAGCTAGGCCTAAGCAATACGTATTTCTTTAACTAGCCAAGATTTGCCATTTTATGATATAGTTAGTATGTCGATAAGAATGCAAAATGTTAGTTAAAACTATTATGTTACCAAAGCTAAATCAAACGGTTGTGAGATTATTAAGCAAAATATGGGGTTTCAAACCAAATTATTTCTGCCCGGATCTTAAAGAAAAGGATTTGAAATGAATATAGGACACGGGGATCTCTACGCATGCACTAGGAAAATGCTAAGCAGAACGATTGTTGGGGTTTCGGTTCTATTAAATAAATTTAGATTTTGATTGGAGTGGATAGTTGGGGATAGAGAAACATACCTATATGAGTATTATACGAGTCTATGTGAAATCTACGTTGAGGCAACGGTAACGGTAACGGTGATTTATGGTGACTTTCACTTTAATTTTGTTTTGGAATTTCGTTAAGCTTTTGATTTGATTTTGAACAACTTTTGTGTCATTCATCTTTTTTCAGTGTACAATGCGAATTGTTGTTCTACTTTGTCTTTTGTGTGTATTTTTATTTATGTGTATGTCAAGCTTTTCATTTACAAGGGTGCTTAAGTGTATATGTGTATATTGTTAACTAAAAAACGAATACTTTAAATATTTGATTGGTTATTCTCTTTCTTTAAACTGAGATCTTTTTGGAATTCAACATTTTTACAGGTGTTTTGTGACTATCTACGCATAGTTCTTGTTCTGAACAAAACGTGAAGCTAAATACTACAGAAATATATATATGTTATGCTTTGTGTATGTTTCTTTTATAAATATATAATGCAAATGTATATTTGTCTTATCAATTTTTGCGATATCTCTATTTATAGTTTCTTTTATAGATTTCTTGTTCGAATGGAGTTTGAAAGTTTTGTTAAGTTCAGTTTAATTCTAGAGTTTGAGTGAGTCGAGTGAGGCTATGGATGAGCGCCTAGAGCCTAAGCCTATATTAGTGGGACAACTGACCAGTGAGGTGGTGCCAAAGAGCTTGTACCAGCCGATCACAATGTTCGACAGATTCAGATCGTCGAGCATAATCTGTGCCACGCCCATAAACACTTTCTTCTCGATGCGTCCGTAGTCGCCCCACACGGTGATCTAAGGGTTAGCACAGAATATTATAGCTCTGGAGAGAATTTTATTTTAAGGACTCACCTGTAGTATGCATCCTGTGTAGGACTGCTTAAACACCAGCTGCTGTTGGTACAGTGGATCCAGGGTACGTCGCGCTGATGAGGTCTTCATCTTGTCCACACAGCGTTTTCCCGACACCAAGTAGACTTTCACATACGGAGCAGGCAGCATCTTAGACGCGGGTTTTTGCTAAGGGCAAATGGATTGGAAAATTTGTAAATTGGAGTTTTATAAATTCCTCCTTTTACTTTACCTGCAACCCTCTAGCCCGGATGACCTCCACTTCCAGAAAGCCCTTTTGATGGCACAGCGACAGCTGGATGTCACCCAGCGAGGGAGCTCCCAGCACCTGGCGACCAACGAGCTGTCCTGGCCCCAGACCATCCACGAACTCATTGAGGGCTCCATCATTGCGTAACGAGGGGGAGAATCTACATTTTTGGTTGGGTTTTTGGGTTTTTGAACATGGGGTTGGGGGGTACATTAAAGAAAGCACTTTAGTACAGCTTTTTTGGCAGAGTGTTTTAGTATCATCTCTCATCTAAATATTGGTTTAAATTAGATAACATAATTCACACAAAGAAAGGTTGTTGTACGTTTTTTTTTTTTTTTTTGTTCATAAAGATAGAACTCTTTATACACAGGGAGTTGTAGAAAGACAGTAAATGTTGTATAGTTTCAGTTGGTGGTTGCGATTGCAACATTTGTGGTCTGAAATGGTTCAATGTGTGTGTTTTGGGTGAGAGGCAAAGACTCTGGAGGTGATAGTGATACTGATACTGATAGTGGTGGTGCGGAGAGGAAACCAGTGGAGTCACAGTTGGTGATGGTGGTGCATGCAAGTGTGTATTTTTTTTTGTTCCGAGGTGCAGAGAAGGTAGATTTACGATCGAGGAGGCGCTGGTCTAAGCAGCTTCTAGCAGAACCCTAATTCTTGTACAGGTACAGAGGGCAGGATCTGACGGATCAGGGTCCTTTTTTTCAAGCTTTACTTTAGTTTAATGCACTTTGAGTGCTTGCTTAGTCTAGACCCTTTATATACACACACATCAAGAGGTGAGAGTAACTTTCTTATATATATATATATATATATATAAATATATACTATATATAGATATTACTGAAAAATCATAGGTGTAAAATGAGGCTTAAAAAATTACAATTTATACACATTACATGACAGAAAAATACACAAACAAGTCGAAGAATCAAATGGAAATCAAGGAAAGTAAGGAAAAGTGAAAAAACACTTAGAGAAAAAACTGTACGCAAATGCAGGCTCGCTTTCAACGGTTTCAAGGCGCACGCACACAGACAACGATTATAAAGAGATACAGAGAGAGAGAGAGTTGCAGGATGAAATGACCGGAAATGGGATCGCCACACAGATTACCATATACAAAAAGCCAATGGATATTATAGTTTAGTTTGAGTTTAAGGACAGATCGGAGGAGAGTGAAAGTAGAGAGAGAGAGAGTCAGAGACAGAGACAGAGACAGTGACAGAGGCAGGCAGAGATTTTATTATTCAGCCGGAAAATGGTATATAGTTTTGCTATGGCCGAATGCCATGCGGGTTGCGATCGGGAGACTTACGATGAGCCCTCGGAGCTAGAGATCGAGTGAATGCTGCCGGCACTGTAACGCGTCACCGGTGGCATTAGGGGCACCTCCACCGACCGCTGGATGCTGCCCGCCGAGCCGCGCGATTGCCGCTGGTGGTATGGATGTGGTGGTGGTAGTGTGATATGGTGGTGACCAGCGGAACTGGTCGAGCTGCCTGAGAACTGTGCCTGGTATTGCTCTTGTTCTGTCGGAGACAACAATACATATTTATACAGATGTGTGTGTGTGTTTATGGGTGTGTGAGCGCGTATATACAAAAGGTTTGATCTGAATATCATCTGGGATACTCCAGAGATCGCTAAGCCTTAACCCATAATTGCAAAAGGTGTCTTAAAGTGGGATCTATAATGTTTCATCTTTTTACAAAACCAAATCTAGTGCAACCAACTTTAAGACACCGAAATGAAGACCTAGAAATCTCAAGAGTTCTTTGTCTGAGGCTCAGTTTCTTAATGAAGAATTTAAATTTTAAGAAACTGAACCTTAAAGTTGGAGAATTTTGATTGGGCTTTTCTTAATGATGAAACTTAAAAGGCGACCATGAATGGTGAGGTGAGATTACAACGCTGAATTCGGGTCTCTGGATACGCGACGCTGGGCTCTTGGAAAATGCAAAACCTCAAAAGAGCAAAAATCATTTTTGGGGTTCCCCGAAGGAGCGACAAGATAGTGTAAAGTCGTAAACGGAAGTATATATATATATATATGTATATCTGAATACGAAAAATCAGGGGGAAATCAAAACGAGTAAACGAGAACTGAATAACCATAAGAGAACATAGATTATAGAGTACACATTATATGTATATATATATATATTTATATATCAGCGAAACAAAATCATCAGAACTAGTGGCTTAACTGAAAAGAACTATAGCAATATTTGAGAGTTTTCACTAGAAACTCAACCCGTTTGGTTGTGTATTTAAGGTTCTAGTATTAAAAAAAGTGTAACATCGATGCTTGGCGGTGATATTTACTGCACTCCCTTCCGCTATATATCGTGTGCAATGCGAATTTTGCTGTCTGGATTGGCCAATTTTCAGATGAGTCTTTTGGTTGATTGTTTTTAATGCAGCTGTTATTGTTAACTACTTGTTGTTTGCAGTTGCTGTTGTTGTTGTGATCTATGTGGTGTTGATTGTTGTAGTTGGAGTAGTTGTTGTAATTGTTGTTGTTGTTGAATGTCTGCTGACTTTCTGTGACAGAGCTCCCTGTGTATATACTTAGGTATCCGAATCAATTGCAGAAAAACATAATCGAACTGAAGTAGAATCTCGCGGGAGGCAGATGATAAACATTAGTTCGCTGATGGGGATCTCCCAGAATTGTAGTCTGTCTTTGGTGTTACATAATAATATATATAATTTTTTAGTTTTTGTTTTTGGGAAACTGCCCGACCGGATGTGTTGATAGCTCCTTGATTACGCTTAGCTCTTACCGCTTACCGCCACAGGAAACCATGGCTAAAGCCGAAGCTCAAGCTTAAACCTCAAGCTCAAGCTCTATGGCAATAAAAGTATTAAAACGAGGCTGCAATATAGATTGATTGTTGCTGGTATGTCGAGTACGGGTGGTTACGAGTATATTAAAGTATAGGCTGGCTTAATTCAATGCATGCAAATCGATATCGAACTGAACAGAACGCTAGGAATAAATGTTGTGTGGGTATTACAAATGGCATTAGCAATCGTACGGATACGGGGGGTTTTTGGTTAGTAATAGTAAGTTGTAATGCTGCTACGAAAGTAAAATGCAATTGGTTGGGCTAACGCACAGCCGAAAGCTTTCCCCAGTGTCCGGCAGTTTTTACTCGAAAACTGCGGATGAGCAAAGCTTTCGGAGTGCAACCCGCTTCGTTTATGGGGAAGCCCCTTACCAGAGGGGGTCTTTCCCCTAATAAGCCTAAAAATACGTATCGACTTTGGATTGTTTGTTGGTTTGGTTTTGGTTTTCAGTTATTTAGGGTATTTCTGGATCTGTTTATTTTTCTTTTGGTTTGCTGCGCCTGCGTTTTCAAGGTGGTCGAAAATAATAAATCAAGTAAACGAGGGAAGGCGGATGGTTCGAATGCGGATACGGATACGGTTTTCATGCCTGCGAAGAGAGAGATAGAGAGAGAGCTTTGGCTGAAGCTTTGGCAATATAGCGCGCGCGAAAATTCAGAGAGGGAATAAGGGTGAGAAGCTCTTACATCTAGGGAAAGTGGTATATAATATCCTGTGTGCTGAGTGGGACTTTGTTTTCGGGAAAAGGGGTTCTTCTGTTACCGGACACTGTTAGTGACTAATGTTTATCATCTCAATCGACAGCGACAGCCTGGCTGACGCTTTTCTTCACTCAGTTTTTAGATTTTTTACTTTTAAATTTTTAGTTTATCGAATTTTAATGTTCCTCCAAAAGGCAAACTCAAAAAGAAAGTCTCAAAATTAAAACTATAATCAACCGAAAATAACTGATAGCATAGCATAGAGAGCAGATTAGAGTAGTAAGTAGAGTATAGTAGAGTAGAGTAGAGAGAGAGAGAAGATAGTTTTAGAATAGAGAAAGTTGGACTTGTGCGCACCTTTCCCCGCCGGCGCCATCGCCGAAAAACTGCTCAATGGCGTCCGCTTCCGAGGAGGAGCCGCGGGACAGGCCACCGCCGCCGGCACCACCGGAACCACCGGCAGTGCCACTAGCACCACCAGCCCCGCTAAGCCCACCGCCAACGCCAATACCGCCGACGCCGCCGCCGGTGCGCAGCTCCCGCGTGATATCGCCGGGCAGCACTTCTTCGCTGCGATGCACCGTGAACGAGTTCTTACCCTTCTTTCCAAAGCCCATACGTCTTTTACGACCTTCGAGTATGGCATTTTACACAAAGTTTTTAGTATTTCTTAGTTTTACTAAATATTGGTTAGTTGGATTAACTTGGCTATGATTATGCTTATGGTTACGTTATGAGGTTAGTAATTGTTAGGGCAACGAAAAAATCGAATGTCAAAGCAATATGGTTATGAAAAGTAGAAAGAAGATCAACTGAAGACGATGATGAATTCGTTCGCCTACGATGCTACGAATAACGGATGCCTCAACTGATTGATTGACTGATTGATTGACGACTGGTTGAGACGACTGATCAACACAAGGCAACGGAACAAGAACGGTATTCAAGCGCAAACAGAGAACGGAACAAAAATGCCTACCTGTGGCCGACAGCTGGGAGGTGGAGTTGGACTTCTTGCCCATGCCGCTGCCGCCTTTGGGCGAACGCTCCTGATCCACGGTGCCGCCCTTCTTTCGGTCCGTAGCGGTGTCCGAGAGGCTGCCATCTGTTTTGGGGGTAGTCAATATTTAATTATGATTTAATTCTTAAGAATATTCTCAAAATTTGCTTATTTATAAAGTACTCTTCATATCTAACAAACTAACAAGCTAAAAATACAACTTCAATTTCATTTCTCCTGAAGACAAATACCGCTTTCGATTTCCTTAATTCTTAAAAAAAATAGCTTAAAAATAGTTTTGTAACTTTAGTAAAGATGGAAATAACAACGGAAAAGGTGTGAAAATCACTCTTATTTCAATATTTGTTGCAAACAAAACGAAAGCCCAAAAAAGTATGCAACGTTTTGCAACTATTAAAATATGTATAGAGAGAGTCCTATATAACTGTTTATTTCTTCCTTTAAAATATCAAAAAGACTACTGAAGCTTAAAGAACATAATTTTCCATATACTCACCGACTTTCTCTTCGCCCTCGGCTCCACCGCCGTCCGTTGACTTGGCACCGCCCGTCTCATCGGCACCGTTCTTGTCCTTGTCGTACTCGCTAAAATCGTCGTCCAGCATGGCATCGATGGCATCCCAGTCGATGACGTCCAGCGGAGCATCCGGATCCGCATCCGCATCGGCAGTTGCGTTCGTTGTTGTTGTTGTTGCGTTTGGTTCGTTCGTGTTATTTGTTGTAGTTGTTGTTGTTGGATTTGTGGCAGTTTTTGTAGCATTTGTTGTTTCGGTTGGTGCAATAGTCGTTGTCGCCGCATTCGTTGCATTCGACGATGTTGTTGTTGTTGTTGTTAATGTTGTTGTTGTATTTGTGATAAGATTTGTGCATGTATTTTGTGGTGGGGGTTGTTGGTGTGTGGCGTCAAGCGTCAAGTTGTTAACGTCATTGTTATTAGTGTTTATGTTTTGTTGTTGTGGTGTTGGTGTGGTTGTTGTTGTTGTTGCATTTGTTGATGATGGGAGACGTTTGTTATTGTTGTTGATTTGGTTGGGTGATCCATGATGTTGTTGTTGTTGTAGTTGTTGTTGTGAAGGTAGTTGTTGGGGATTTGCAAAAGAGGAAGAAGAAGCATTATTAGCATTAGTACCACCGACGACAAGATGCCCAGCAGCGGCAGCAGATGTGGCACCACCGCTCCCACTACTAGATTTCGTCAGCTGCTCCGATGCCATCATCGATCCGCTGTTGGCGGCGGCGGTGCCTTCTTTCCCTTTTTGCCTAGCTGATTGTTGTAGTTGTTGGTTGTGACTTTGGCTAACACTAACACTACTCGCTTGGCTATTGTTTTGGTTGGTGTATTGGTTGCTATTGTGTGTACTGCTCGTGTTGTGTGCACCACCGCTACCCATTCCGTTGCCGTGCTCCATTCCCGCCGCTCCCGCATCCAATCCCGGTCCGCCCTCCATGGGCGAGAAGTTGTGCGCATTCTGGGCACTGGGCGGATGTGGCAGATTCCGGCGACGCTTTAAATACGGCGCCGCCGGTCCATATAGCTTCTGCTGGCTGGTGCGCTGCAAATCCAGTGACATGTGATGTCTGGCATCCGCCAATCCTCGCTGACGGTGCGCCCCACGGAAGAGGGACGGTGCCACTCCGCGTCGCGTCCAGCCCACATCTGAGTCATACATTATGGTCACGATCTTGTCGTCCGTTACCAGGAAGTGGGAGTGACTTAGTGGATTATTGGCATCCACATTGGCACCCATGTACGACTGGCGGATATTTGTCTCTGATCCGTAGCGACGCGACATTGCCGACGTGGGTGAGTGAGCATAGGAGCTTGGGTGCGGATAGGGATAGTCTGCGGACGAGGGCACCACCTCGTCCTCATACCGAATGCGACGGCGACCCCAGCTCTTCGTGTGCAGATCATCGTAGTCCAGGGATCGTGACTGACCCTCGTGGAAGAGCCGTCTACGCTCCAGTTTCGGCTTCTTCAGGATGGAAGTGGGTTGCGCCTTGGCCTCTGAGATGGGAACGGCGGACACCAAGGCATCTTCGCTTAGCTGTCGGGAAAGACGCAGCACTGACTGAGTGGGTGGCGGTGGCGGCGTCGCCATTTGTCCCCTGGCCCTCCGATGAGCATTGGGTGTCGGCGTGTGCACATGGTAGGTGGGCACTACGCCCAGATTCATCTGCGGTCCCGTCAGCCCGCCCAAGAAGTGCTGGTCCACGCACTCTCCGCACATCGCGGGATCCGTTGAGGGTGGCTCACCACTGGCTCCGACATAGGGATAGCCCATGGGTTGGTGCTGGGGGTGGGGATGAGCGTCCGCAAGGCAGCAGGGATCGGGACAGGCACCGATTGCTAGGCCAGCGGTGGCCAGGTGAAGGGTATGATGCGTGGATAGCACCACCGGCTGACTCCCATTCTGGCAGTGGCTGCAGCTCTTGTCCAGGTGATCACGTACATAGCCCACCAGCGAGCTGGGCGAGGCTGTTACCCCTGAGGTGACATGGTCGTGGGCATGGGCGCCCGAGGGTGAGGAGCTGCGGAAGAGATTCGTGATGGGCGTGGTAATGCGCTTGAATTGCTCAAAGCTCGGCAGCAGCGGCAGCGGATAGGCGGCGGTGGCTTGTACGTTCGGTTTCTGTCCGTTAGGCCGTCGTGGTGGAAACATGTCCATGTCGATGGCAAATGGCGGTGGTAGCAAATGGGTTGAGTAGTAGGCGGAGTGAGGATGTAGATGCGCATGGGGATCGAGTGGATCGAGAGGCGCCAGCGTCTCCTCGGCCACGGTGCCGGGTTCCACGAAGAACTGCTCCACCAGCTGGCCACTGTTGGCATCGGTCACCAGCACTTGATGCGGGGTCATGCCCATTCCCATGCCGCCGGCGGAGATCGGCGGTGAATCTGCAGCCGCTAGGGCAGCCAATTGCTGCAGTTGCTCCAACTGTTCCAGGAGTACCATTTGCTGGGCACCACCAGATGGCAGATAGTCGCAGTCGTCTACCTCGATGGTATTGGCCCTGCCGGGCTCTGAATGATGCAGTCGAAGTCCGGTGATCGGTTCACCTGCGGCGCCGCTGAGGAAGCTGTTGCGAACGCCAAAGAGATTGCGCCAGTTGCGGGGGAAGCTAACGGTTATTGCGGCAACGGTAACGAGTGGTGGTAACGGGTGGTGGTAACGGTGGTGTGACAGCAGTAGGTGGGTGGTTTGTGGTTTGAGAACATTTCGGTTTCGAGGCATGCAGTGTTGGGAAATGGTTTCAAACGCAATGCCATTCCCAGTGAGACAGCGCTCGGCGAGTGGTGAGTTTTGAGTGTGTGTGCGTGTGTTGGGTTCGATGGCAGGGTGGTGGGTTTGTTGTTGTTGTTGTTGAACAATCGACAGGAAGAACGAACGGCGTCCGAGGTCAAACGTTCGGTTCGAGGTGAGTGGTGGTCACCAATGCGAGTCGAGTGTGTGTGAAGTGTTTGTTAGAGTGTTTTGTGGTTTTGTTGCGAACATGTTGTTGAGTTTTGTGGTGAAGCGTGTGGTGAGCACAGCACGCGAGAGAAGCATTCAAACACAAACACAAATAGAGTTCACGCGGCGAGTTGTTCGAGTTGTTGATTGTTGTTGAGGATTTTCATAGAGATTTTAGTTTGTCGGTGGTTGGTTTGGCAAAACGCAAAAAGTAAATGCAGAAAAGAAACTTAATGTTTTCGCTGTCGTTTTTCGCTGGTTTCAGTGTGCGAGTCTAGAGTTTGGTGTCTCTGGCGTGTGTATGTGTGAGTCACAGAGAGAGTGGGGCGATAAGCGCGCCGATACTGATACAGATTCAGTTTCATTTTCAGATTCTTATCAAATTTGAATACCAAGACTTTGGGGGACTTGAAGAGAATTGGGAGCCTAATTCAGGGGAATTTCGGATTTTGTTTTGTAGCTTCTACTCGGAAAGAATGTGTGGCGAGAGCGAAATTTCAGCGTAATTTTGGCAGCGTTGCTTGGCTTGCTTAGCTTGGCTTGATGGGCCCTTTCTCATCGCTCCTGGCTGCTCCAGAGGGCTCTCCACAGCCTGTCAGCTGTCAGCCACTTACCTGAGTCCGCGCGAAGTGCGCGGTCGCTCCGACTGCGTGGAGAAGGCGCTGGAGGTTACACTGACCACCGACTCCATGTCCGAGTCACCGAACTCGCCCATGAAGTCCTTGTCCGGGGACAGCGAGTGACGCGGACGCATGCGCGCATCCATCGAGTGCAGGTCGCTGTCGGAGAGTCCAGTGTAGTGTCGCTCCCAACCACCCATGCCGGTGCTGCGGTATGTGGCCTGGTGGTGCGGCTGCCGTGTGCGATGCCGCCCAAAGCGACCACCGGAGGCCAGTCGCTCGTCAAAGTCCTGTCCAAGACGATCCCGCAGCATGGCGCTGCGTGAGGTTTGCGGCACCTGTTGGTTGATATTAAAAAGCAAATTAGATAACTTTTATTGTGATGAATAAGAGTGTTCTAGATATTTTCGCATGTGAATGTATCTGGCGGATATATGTATCTTTTAAGCAAGTCTTGCAAGTCTTAATTGGTGACTCGTACTTTTTCTATTCTGTTTCTAAAGAGCTTAACTATTAAAGCCATACGATCTCAGAGATTTCATTATAATTATTATAATTATAAAGCGATTGCATGATCAGTTAGTAGCAGCAACTAAAATTATAACCTAATACAATGTTTTAAATACCAAAAACTCTGTCGGAAACTGTATCGCGTTTTCATTAACTCCTTCCCAGTTAACTCTCATGTTCTGATCATCCACTTGGGTTACCTGTGGCAGTTGCCTCTTCTTGGGCGAGCCTGTGGGCGTGGCTGTGGCCGAACGCGACTGGAATCTCTGCTGCTGCGAGGCAGCCGATGCCGCCGAGGTGGCACCACCCGGACCTTGGTAGGCCGATGGAACTGGAAGCACTGGATAGTCTATGTAGCGATCGTCTGGCGGCGAGAGAGAGCCCCGTCGGGGACTGGTGCTCCTATAACCGTAGCCCGATCCACCGGATGGAACTCCGCCCGCTCCTCCTCCTCCTCCTCCGCTGGTGTGATAACCGTCGCTGGGTGCCGCTGAATGGCTTCGCTGGCTAAGGCTCATGCCACCAGGACCGATGGCCGAGCCGACACCATTACCGCCTCCGCGACGATAGTAACCGGTGGCAGAGGCCTGTGTGAGTGCAGAGATTGGTGGCATGGAAAGTAGAGTGTGGTTTAGTGTTGTGCCCATTTACGACCAGGACCAGGGGGTTCCAACGATCACACGGATCGGAGCTTACAGACTAGGCATGTGAGTGGCTGTGGTTTCTGGGTCAGGCATAACAGTGTGCTCATATGTGTTTGTGTATGGAGTGTATTTTTCGTATATCGGTTAACTTTACTGCAACTTCTACTGGAACATTGATATATATGATAATACGTAGGTAGAGAGCAAGAGATAGAGAGCCATAATAATTGGATACGAGTACATTTTCGAAACGAAATCAATTAAAATACAATGAGGGTCGCAGGCGACCCTTAAGATTATTAGTGGGTTAATCGGTTAGTTAGGTTAAGTAAAAGATTAGCATAAAACTTTGGAATTGAAAGTGCAGTAAATTGACAGTGGTTTTGGTCTAACTAGGCTAGGCTATAACTGTGGGGCTAAGAATGGTCAATAGATGTTTGGACTGAGGCTGAGGATTTAGCCTCTTAACTGGATTAACTAAATGGTGGACAAAGGGACTTTAAGGCTCCCTGAAATTTTTAGAATTTGAATATGTAAGTTGAGAGGATTTTTTTAAGAGCTTTTTAGTAATGACAAGATATAGAAGATTGATCCAAAGATAGTTTTCCATATGATATTGATGTTTAAAAGATTCTCTACTCAATGAACAATTGTTATGGAATGAACCCTGCTCCGAAGATGCTCCCTCAACTTGTTGTGTTTCCGTTTCCGGTGTCTGTACTGTACTGTTCTGTTTGTTTTCACTTTCTTTTTTTGTGGCCCTGTTGTTGAGGTGGTTCGTTAATTTAGCTTGGGTGCAAACCTGATTGTGGTAACTTTGTCCAATGCCAGATACAGTGCGGTAGTCGCGGGCCACCATTCCGGCCACTCGTTTGCGGCCCTGGGGCGACATGTCACGTCGAGACCGCCGCTCGTTTAGATCGAGCTGGATCGTCGTGTTTCGGGTTGGGATTTTGGGAGCGTGGGGACATATATGGGTGTGGGTGGAGAGAATGTTTTCGGTGAGAGGCAAAGATCAAGAGAAAAGAAGGAGTAGACAATAGAGAAATTTACATCATGATCAATATGCATGGAGAAAGAGAGAGTCTGGAGCACAGTGTGATCGGGGTGTGGCAATATGCGGGCTATTGGGTATTGCATTTGGTTACTGGCCCCCTACATTGTGTTTGTGTGGGATCTGTATCTCAAGGTACTCTGCTGGTGTTCGGTGTATCTCGGGGTCTGTGTTCGGTTAACTCAACGCACATCAAGTATACGCAACGTTTACACACTTCAAGATACAGTTAAAGCAGCGGGGTGAGTAATGCATTGTGATAAGGTGATTGGATTTATGGACAAAAGCAGTTATCTACAAGGACATGCAAAGCGTATTAAAGGTGCTCTTGAATGACAGATCGATTGTGAGAGAGAAGATATATAGATATAGTTTGCTTATACACAGAGATAGAGAGAGATTGATTTCCTTGGACAGTATGTGTTCTCATGTTTAAGTTTACACGGATTCTTAGCTTAAAACATTCGGCTTATTCAACTTAGACTAGAGTTACTTCCATCTTAAATGCAATAGTTATAGTTATCGTTAGCTGAAAAGACGCGGCCAAGTCTCGCTTGGATTTTGCTCGGAGTTTTAGTACAGTTTCAGATAGTTAGTAGAGCAACAGTTTAGATTTCAAAGAGAAAGTATATGGTAATAGTATTGAGGAAGAGAGAGAAAAATTTAACACACGCACAACCAAACAACGATACACCAATTAGTTGAATCAAAGTTTCAAAACGAACTGAAAAAAGACATCATGAAAACAAAAATACTTTGTACAATTTGCTGCTTGGGAGGTGTCATGTCATGTTTTTTGGCCCTCTGATTTCGTCCCTGACCATGAACCAGTTGGTGTATGTGTTAATAGTGTCAATGTGTAGGTGTATCTGAATACGTATCTATGTCCTGTGCCTGTGGCATGCGAACTATGAACGAGAACTATGAACTGTTAACTGACAGGAACAGGAACTGAAACCGCAATGGAGTCCGAGTCCCCTGACGGAGCATGTGCCAAGGGCTTTTGTGTGCGGGCTCTATTCTTTCTGTTCGCATTCGCAGTGCTGAGTTTTCTGGCTGATGCTGATGCTAAATGTTGATGCTGTGCCTGATGCTGCACTTGGCATGTGATATGTGAGTTACAGTTTGAAATAAGCACGCACACACATATATAGAGAGATAATAAAATAAAAGAAAGACACTGCTATCGCACAGGTCAAAACCCCTTTGATATCATTTCTATATAAACTTGCTGGGGTATATTTAGATCTATTTTTTAAGTTCTTTTGAGTAGGGAAAGATGTTATGTTATATTTAAAAAAAAAACTATTATTTGCTTAAGAAATATTTAAGGATCCGATAATTATTTAACAATTAAAACTATTCTTCTTTAAGAGCGAATCAAAAATTAATACGAGTGAGTAATATGATATCCTTTTACAGTAAGAATAAAAGATCATGACCTTTGTTTTTAAATTATATGATTTTGAAGTGATCCTGACTGATTTAGTGACTGCTAGCTTGCAAGTCAGGACTTTGAGCGCCAAATATCTATATCTTGTATATCAACAATCTATTTTTATTTGTATATAATAAAGCTGGCAATATCTCATTGAATAAAGACTTGTAAAACAGCTTCTAGATGTTTATGTTCCCCAAGTAAGAGTATATAGAAAATGTTATTATTATCTTTTTTTTTTTGCTTTATCATAAGCAGCATCGAATGCCTTCTGGCTTCTGCACAAGTGTGTGTGTGTGTGTGTGTGAGCTTTTTTTTTTCGACGACAGCGGAAATGTTCTTGCATGAGTCTGTGTGTGAGAAGGGCTGAGAGCCACTGGAAGTGGCAAGCTGCGATTGAGGACTTATGTGTGTGCCCATGGCTGTGAGTGTGAGTATGTCTGGTGTCCTCACTCTTGTTGCTGTCAGTTGTTTTTGCTATTGTTGTTGTTGTTGTTATGGTTATTTCTCCATTCTTTTTCGTCTTTGTGTGTATTATATATGTACATATGAAATAATAAATTTAATTCAATTCTTTTTCTCGTCTTTTTGCTGCTCCCCTTGTGTGTATATGTGTTTCTCTCAGTGTAATGTTGTTGTACTGCTTGTTGTTGCTGTTAGAGCTGTTCTTGTTGTTGATGTTGTTGATGTTGTTTTTGCTGTTACCTCTAGCAGGGGCGGTGGGCTGGCCGAGCTGCCCATCGACGAGATGCTGGCCCCGGGCGTCATTCCATCGATGTCGCAGTCGGACGTTGTGTCCGAGTCGCTCAGACGCGACATGGTGCTCGGCGGTGATAAATGATCTGTCGGTGTCAGTATCAGGCCGTCCACATCGCTGCCCTCGTCACGTAACTGTTTTCGTTGTTGTCATACAATTTTTTGCCGATGCCGTTGCAATGTGGTTGTTGGTGGTTGTTGTAGTTGGTTGTTGATTTGGTGATATGGATAACGCACGTGTTTTGTTGTTGTTGTTGGTTGGTAATGGTGGTGGGTGGTGGGGATATTTTTTTTGATGGTGATGTGTTATTGTTGTTGGCGGGTGCACGACATAAAACCAACGGAAAAAAAGGAAACAGATAATGACAATGCCGGGTTAATAATTTTGTTCAAATCGGGCAGCGGCTGCGGTTATGGGTGAAGGGTTTTTGATTAAAGGACATTAGGTCAGTTCTGGCCTTCACTTTTACATACTTAATTCAGCATTCAGCTCAGAAAAGTTTTAGAGTTTTCAAATCATTTGCAAAAGTGAAAACCCGAACCTTTACATCGAGCTTAGCATGGGACTAAAAACGAATATAAATATACATATTTAAATCATAACATTTTCCATATTGTCTTTAGCCAGTTTTTGTGTTAAGTTTTTCGCTCGCCAAAACATCATTCGTGGAACCATGAACCGAAACTCTTGGGGTTTCCCTTTGGGTTAATTTTTAAGCGTTTACCAACACCTATTCTTTGACAGCCAGGAAACGGAAACGAACGAACGCAAAATGGAAACCAAAGGAACGAGAACTGAAAGAGCCCCGGCCCACACATACGAGATAGGAGGTATCCTGGTGAGGTTGCAGTTGATACCACTCGGCCTCGTCATCCAGGATGTGATGTGCCAGATCGATGACCACCTCGCCGATGAAGTCGTTGGCACCATACCGCACATAATCCCAAAGCGTTACCTGATTAATTAGAGTTGTGATTACTATATATATTCGATGTAGAGAACTTGCAGTTATAACTCCTTACCTCGAGCAGACGACCATTGAGATCACAGCGCCTCAGACCCGAGTAGAGGAAAGTCTGACCCCATCGGGGTTCACAGGTGGTGCCCACCGTTTTTGTTCGCCGCTTTGATTTGTGGCTTCGGTCGGGCAGAAGGAACACCTGCAAAGTAATCAGGAAATTAATTAATTAAGGAATTCAAGATACTGCATGACATCTTATTCATTATAATGTGTTTAAATATATAAGACTCACTTTTGCGTAGGGATTGCGGCCAGCACCGCTCTGGCGCAGGGATAGGCCGGTGGCACAGACCAGGGTCACGATCAGCTGCAGCGTGTTCTGGTCATAGCCAAGCTTCAGCTGCAGCCGCCCTTCGATTGGTATCGGCTGTGTGGTTGTACCGGAGCCACTGCCCATGCCGACGCCCACCCCGTGGCCATGAAGGTGAGCGGCTGGCGATCCCTGGTGCTGTAACGGATGCTGGTGCGGATGGCAATGATGGTGATGGTGGCCCGCCGTCGTGGCGCCGTGCAGACCGCCCGAGGCGGAGCCGGAAGCGTGGACGGATCCGTGGGCGGAGTTGGAGGCGTGGGCGCTGCTGGTGCTGCTGCCGCTGCCACTACCGCTGCTGCTGTGGCTGTGGCTGCTGTGACTTGGTCCCAGTCGCTGCGTCGGCCCGACGCCGCCACGTTGCCGGAGTCCGCTGCCAGCTCCCGATGCCGATCCTGTATGGATATCCGGTGAGCCGGGCGAGGTGATCAGAACACTTGGCTTATCCCGATGGATTTCGATGGCCTCGACCGCGGGTGCTGTTTTGGGGGGGAAACGAGGGAAGAGTTGGTTAAGATCATGGGAGAGTTGTTGGTGAATCAAGAGAGTTGGAGTAGCAGCTAGCTTGGGTTTTGTGTGTTGGTGGTGTAATCGTTAATGGGACTTAAAACAAAGTTTATAGTATATTCATTTCAATAAGAGCAGTTTCTTTCACTATAACAAGTTGCTAAAAATTTAATTTACTAATAAAAGACTTCATATTTTAATACAACTAAGATGTATCCTAGTTTTCCAATTAGTTCTTTGTTTTTTCTGATCTAAAATGATTCCGTTTAGTCCTGTTTTTCCTTGCAAATTTCTGTAATTAAGATAACTCTTAGGTAAACAATTACCTTACCTAGTAAATCACTAATGATAAAGAATTGAATAATAATGAAATGATATGAGACCTAGTAAAAATTCCCTATATATGTTTCATTAATTCCTATTCATGACATTCAGTTACACACACTCGCACACACAACCAACCCACATTCAATTATATTTGGTATTTTTGTACCTTTTCGCTGTAGATATCGTCCGCCACTGCTGACCACCGCACTTCCGGCCATGCTGCTGGCCAGCCCGCTGTGCGGGAAATTGGCCGAGGAGCGGCGCGGAGGCGCACTACTGGCGGAACCACCGGAAGCGGAACAGGCGCTGCTGGGACTAACGTTGCTGCTGCTGCCACCGCTACCGCCACCGCTGCCAATTGGCCGGCTTACGATCAGTTCCACCTGGGCATCCAGGCGACTCTCGTCGATGATATCGTACACCTCGTCGGCACTCTTGTTGTGCAGCCCGCGGCCATTCCACTCGATGATCTCGTCGCCTGATGGATGCACGTTTGATGAGTTTGGTGAGCGGTATGATCGTGATCAGAGATCAGAGATCGAAGAGGGAAGAGATTGAGAGAGAGAGAGAGAGAGAGAGAAAAGTCAGAGTGAGATGGGATGTATAATGATGGATGCTGGGATGGATGTTACCTGGTCGTATACGGCCCTCGAGATCGGCCACCGATCCGCGTTTCACCTTCTCCACAATGGCCCCGCATGGACCTCCGGCAGATCCTCCGGCCGTTCCAAGGAGCGGCTGACCGCCGTTGACCTTTAAGCCTAATATATCCTCCCCATCATAGTATTTACGCAATATCATATGCCCGATCAGGCGAGTATTGTCCGCGGATGTTTGCCAATTCACCGGATTCTATATATGCATCGATCGATCGGTTTACGATGGTTGTGGGTGTGGTGGGATGGTGGTTTTAATTGATTGTGATTTTGTCAATTAATTGTTAGGTGGGATTTGGTGGTTTACAGTTAACGATTCGGATTGCGGATGATCGTGCATAGATTTTGGTTGTTGGATGTGGTGGTGTCGGTGGGGAGCCATCGTATGCGGGAAGTAGAATTGTTTTTAGTTAGCAATTTGCACCGCTCACAGGCCTTAGGCATAGAGAACTTACAGTTCTAGATTAACTTACAATTAGAGTTTGGTAAACGGAAAATAGATATGTATAACAGCAGAAAGTAACAATTTGTACATATTTGTTCACATTCAGTTTTTGTTTTGTTTGTTTGTTTTCTTACGAGCTATAGAAACATATTCTACTCAATTACGGATAGTTGGCATAACGCATAGGTATATAGATACACAGTTGCTGTTTCGTTTTAGAGGGTTTCCTACGGTTTTTGAGAACACACACGTTTCAAGAGATTCTCCCTCGATTCGAGGGATATGAAAAAGTATCAAGTTTTGAATGCTGAAAACAGTGTTGGTAAACGACATGTAGATAGAAGTAGAAGGCATGCAAGGACGTGCTTAATAGGGGATATTTTTTTGTTTGGGACTTCATGCAAGCACAACATTTAGAGGTTTTGCAAAAAGGTCTGATTACTGGGACATGCAAAATTTTTGTTCATTGTGGGTTTTCGAATTTTCTCTGGGTGGTTTTTCTTGGTGGGTTCGTATGCTGAAATTGTCAAAATGTTGTCATAATAGCTGGAAGTCGGTTGGTTTGCGAGCTGGGAGTGATAAACAAAAACGATATTGTTGCTTGATCATGGTCTGGGTTATGTCTTGGGCTTTGGACATGACAAGAACAACAAACACAGAGGTGGTTGGGGGTATCTCCCTTGGGGAATTCTCCACACAGACAAACGGAAATTTTGGGGTCCAGAGGGGTTAGAAAGAGACACAGAGAGAGAGAGAGACAGAGTAACAGAGAGAGACTCTACACAGACACAATGCATTCTTGACCATCATCGTGTAGCCCTTCGTGTACCTTGGGCCCATCTCCTCGATTCGAATCCTCGCTGCTGGTGAACGTGCTGCTGGTATCTATGCCCGAATCCTTGGTGGCCGAGTCCTGGCTGCCCTGCCGTTCGGCCTCCCAGCGCGTCCAGTCAGCTCCTCCGGCATCCAGGCCACTGCTGCTCTTGCCACTGCTCAATATGGTGGCTGCTCCCACATCAACCGCCGTCGAGGGCAGGATCCCGGTCACGGGGGGCAGTGAGCTGGCCGCCAACATGGAGGCCTCATCATCGTGAGCATCGAAACGCACCGTTTTCTTTATTCTGCGCTCGGTGAAGCGTCGCGAATCCTGGGCCGCCGACGAGGAGGAGCTGGTGGCCGGCTCATCCCAATAGGCTGCTTCCGTGGAGCTGACGGAGCTACTACCACCGTTACCGCCACGCGTGGCGCCCAGCAGGCCGCGATTGCCGCCCCGCGCCGCCTGACCCTGGGCCTCCATATGGGCTGCCGTTGCCATGGATCCGCGATCGTAGCCCGATCCTGGCCCAATCACGATCTGCGGCTTCGACTGTGGGTAGTAACTGCTGCTAGTGGTGCTGCTGCTGCTGCTGCCGCCGCCGCCGGCGGCTGCCAAGGGCGGGGCACGTCGGTAGGCGCCAGCAGCACCACCTGCCGCACCTGCCGCCGGTCCGGGTCCCGGTCCCAGTCCCAGTCCTGGGCCACCTCCGCCACCTCCTCCTCCGGAAAACTGTCGATCGTGGTTGCTGCGATTCAGCGAGTTGCGCTGCTGGACGTCCAGGCGAGCGGTACGCGTCAAAGGATACTGCTCCAGTCGCTCGCGATGCTGCAGCTGCAGCTCGTAGCGGTCCCTTTGATCCGCCGAGGAATACAGCCGCTGGGTGGCGTGCGACAGGTGGCGGAAGTCAGCGGACCCGCCGCCACTGCCGCCGCTGACACTGAGCAGGTCCCGCTCGTTGAGGCTCCGCTGCTGGCGCCACGGATCCAGAGAGGTGCGCACCTGGAGGCGCCCGCCTGTAGGGGTGGTAGATGGTGATTGGGTGTGGCTATAAACACTACTACGGGTTTTTGTTTGCTCTGCGGGGGGGATTTGGGGTCGGGTTTTCAGGGGTCTCTTGGGGGGTTTCTTAAAGGGGAGGGGGATAACTTCGAGAGACTGCGCCGCTTGCCTGCCATAGTTTGTTGTCCTTTTCAGATGTTTCAACAAATGCTCACAAACATAATGGTAATCGATGGTATTCGGCATTGAGAAAGCAAAAGTTCAAAGCAAATAAATACGTATGATAAGAAGACTTATTTGTGGGGGATCCCCGGGTCTGATCCAGCCCGGTGAGTTATCGATCGATTGTTGTGGCAGATGGATTTGTGGTGCCGTCATGGTTTTTCGAAAATTTTACAAAGTATTTAGTTTAAGCAAGTAAATGTTGCTTCTACATTTGTTTTGTTTTTTGGATGCAAGTGCATTGGTTTCAGAGTATAAATTTATGTGTTTCGGGCACATTTGTTAACTGAATTTATCTAGCTAAATCTGTACTTAAATAAATGAAGCTAATGAATAAGGCTAAAAGGGTATAATGTATATTTATTGTTTTAAATCGGATTTATTTTATTGTTTTGTATTTCCTGGCCAATTTTAAAGAATATAATGTTAAATTCAAGGTTATTTATAAGAAAACTAATTCATGGGCTAATGTTAAAGTCTTTTCTCTCCCTGTAACCAGGACTGTAAGATCGGAATCGATTATACAGAATAGAATTTGAGTCAGTTAAATTTAATTTCTTCTTTTAAATTTAATACCAATGTACAACAAATTTTCGAAAAAGCTGTGACTTTGCTGTTCTTTAATCACAACTGCATGAGTAATCTAAGTATGGTTAATAAGAGTATAGTAAGTAGACCTACGACTAGAGCTACGAGTGCCCATCATTGCTGGGACTAAGAGTGCCAGGGTCGCAAAAGATGCGTATCAGGGGCTAAGGGTTATCGGGAGTTTCGAGATTCAGAGATACGAGGCATGGCAATACTTATCTGTTTGTGTGGCTAAAAGTTGCAAGAGCATTAAGTTACAGGCTAAGACTTTCGGTGGGGACAATCCCGGGGGCAAGGACAGTGTACACTGTTGAATGTTCTGAATATGCTAGGGGGTGTGTCTGTGTGTGTGTGTAAAGTGTGTGAATTTTGGTTTGAAGTAAGGAGGAAACGGGAAACAGCGTTACGATATCCATGCAAATTATTCACCAAGTTTTCTTGTTTTTCAAAATTTTCTTTTTGTTTTCGTTCACATTTACAGGTAAGTAGGTTGGTAAGTTGGTGGGGTAAGTAAAAACGTAGAAGATACATAAAAAAGGTAAAAAAGTAACAAATACATAAGACAAAGTGTTTGAAAATCCGTCAAGTGACGACAACGTGTGTTCACAGCCAGAAAATAGAGAGAGAGAGTTGTGTTTTTTTGGTGGATTGGAAAAATCAAGTAATGATCGAAGTCATAGCAGTATCTTAAGCAAAGAAAGACGGACTGACCAGCTTAATGGCTATTATCGAGAAGATAACTCTAGAGGGCGGTGGAGAAAGGGGGTGTGTTTGTGTGTAGGAGAAAGGGTGAGTGGGGAAGACAGTGCTCGAACAAAGAAAACAAAGTCAACAACTAAGGATATCGCACATTCCTTGCTTGCGCTTGTGACGTGAAAACTCATAAGGAAACAATAACATCGAAGAAGACACACACACATTCAAATTAATTCGCATTAAATGCCTTTGGGGCCTCAATTGAATCTTTTCGCTTACATTTGCATGAATCTGTAGATCGCCGGGCGAGAGAACGGATTGGACACCTTGAACGCCGCCAAAATTACCTGCTACTCGATGTTTATACATATATATTTTTTTGTTTCATTTAAGTTGTATATTAGATATTTTTCAGGTAGTTTTTTTGTTTTGGTTTTGGCATAATGGTTTTTGTGGCGGGCAAGTTGGTTGGGGGGGCAGACCAGAGAGAGAGAAAGAGTGGAGAAAAATATATATGAAAATAACATTTCAAAAGGTGAACTTTGGAGTGGTTAATGTGATTAAGAATAAGACATAACTAGCCTAACTTAACTTAGAATAATCTATGCAAAATACTTAAAAACTATTGAGTTAAGCAAGCAAATAATTGATGTATAGCAGGTAGTTTCCTTTGGTAATTACTTATTTAATATGTCCCCAAAAGTACTAACATGTGTTATGACTAAATTTTCTGGTTTTTTGAGGAATCTAAGTGCTTATAAGCGGCTAAAAGCTTTCAAAAACTTACAATACTGATACATTTGTATTCGATAAAATTTGCAGCTTACTTCTGCCCTTGAAAGTAGGCAATGAAAATGGTTGTAAACGCATTTAAAACAAAAGCACACCCGCACACACACACATATAGAGCACTCACTCAGACAATCGCCTTGGGTGCCAAGCAAAACTAGTTTATACACACACACATAGATACACTCTCTCTCATACACACTCTTGCTTCTGTGTGTTTGTGGGCCATACCCCTGGCATACTTTCATTTGACTTTGGTCACGATACAAAACGTTTATTGTGCGCATAATGGCCGACAGCAGCAACAACAACAACGGCAGCGACGGCAAACAAAACAAAAACAAGTGAAATAAAAATAAAAATGGAAAATAAAAAGAATGAACCAAAAAAAATTACATAAAGACAGCAGCGACAAACCAGACCTAAGCGATAACAATGTAAACAAAGGAAGGCACGAAAGTAAAACAAAGCAAAAGTAAAGTAAATTATTTGAGAAAACCACACGCACAATCTGCAAATAGGGTTGGGGTTTTTGGGTTTTTTTTATGCGATGTGTGTATATGGATGGGTTGGAAGAGAGGTGGGTGAAAGTGAAAGGCGCAAAAGACCAAGAAAAGAAAGCAAAAATCAATAATGTACACAAAAACACGGTCATTTCTGTCCCTTGGCGACCTTTCTTATGGTTGTTATTGTTGCTGCCAGCCTGCCCTTGTTGTTGATTTTGTTGTTGATGTTGTTGTTATTGTTGTTGATTTTGTTGTTATTGTTGTTGATGTTGTTGTTGATGTTGTTATTGTTGTTGCTTCTTGTGTAAAGGCTGCGCACAATCATCGCATTGTGCAACACACAAAGAAAATGAAAAATCAAACAAATTTTACATCCATGCACAGGGAAAATCAATTTTGAACATGATCATATTTAAATATTTAAGTAAGAGAAATGTATCCTAGTTTTAACTATCAACTTGCTTTGATTTGTGAAGATATATCATGGTATTGTTATTTACAGTTTCTTATACCGCTTTTATTACAAATAATGCAACTAAATTTACTCAAAATGTAACTAATGATAAAAGGGCTAGAAGTGTTTAGACGGTGATTTTAAATCACATTTGACTTCCATTCATTGAAATTTTATTGTAGCGCAGGAAGGGATTGTTAACATTATTTGACTTGACTGTAATTTTATCAATTTATTTATTTTCATATTATAAATAATGTATAATACATTTATTATATACAAAATTATTTATATTATTAAAAGCAATAATCTGAAATAATCTAAAATCAAATCCCTATGCTAAATTAAAATCCCAATCAAATATATAAGTTCAAACTTAACTTCTCAAAGCAAATAAGTTTATTTAAAGTGTATATATTGTCCTGTTTATTTTATAACTGAAAGTAAAGTATACAGCCATTCTTTTTGTTTTCAAATCTGATACATTTATTTATTTATGTTTTGTATATAGATCAATAAATCAGAAACAAAACAAAAAGTTCCATTCAAAAGATTTCAAACAAGAACGAAATGAAATCAGTTTGCAACTGGGAAAACCAACGAGTCAAAGACAAGATGCCAATTTTGTTTGATCCTGTATTATTCTTGTCCCAGTGTGTCCGTGTGTGTGTGTGTTGGTGTGTGAGTGTGAGCCGCTGCTTCCTGTTTTTATATTTTTGGCCATAAATTCAAGCCAGTTCGGTTGACAGGCATCGAGAGGGAAGACAGGAGGGTTTTTGGAATGGGCAGGAGTCGGTATAATGGGCGTTGGGCTGGCAAAAGGACACTAAAATCATCATCATCATTGGCACACCGAGAGTGGGAGAAAGAGAGATAGATAGTAGGAACGATGGAGAGAAGAAAGGGAGAGGGATATATGGAAGAAACGGGAGAGGCTGTCGTAGCTTGTTCTATTTTTAAACCAACGCTCACACACACACCGACAGACGCAGGCGCATAAATAGCACACAAATGGCCGCAAACAGGCACACAAACAGCCACTGGCACCCGCACGCACGCACACTCACACACTCAAGAGAGCATAAGCGGCCCACACACACACACACAGACACACACACACGCACTTTCTGCGTGGGCCAGCCGCAATGTTCGCATTAATGTCACTCATACGCACAGTTGCACATGCAAACAAACAAGGAGCCACGCCACGCACAACATCAACGTCAACTGGTGTTGGTCAACGATTTAATTAAATTCAACCCATTCCCCGCAGATCCTCCACCAGCTGGTGGTCGCATTTTAAAATAGCCAAACACACCAGTATGCCATACATCCTCACGCACTCTCGCACACACACACCCAAGCAGGTGTGTGCGGTCTATATTTACTTATTCACAGCCTGGTTGCCCATATGCGACACATTTCGCGTTGATGTTGTGGTTGCCATTTCACTTAGCACACACACACACCCCCTATTGATTTTCTGTGTGTGTTTAATCGAAAATGTAATTCATTTCACAAATTTCGTTGCATACGTCCAGGCGCCTAATCGCGGGGGAATTCTCCTCAGGGTTTGACACAAAACACAAACACACACATAACATATTGCATCCACATAAATATTGCGACCAAAACACTGAAGCTGTAACATGTAACTAACACCAAGAGCTATCTAAATTGCAATGCATTTTTGTTGCTAAGTGACATGGAATTTCAATGAAGTTTTAGAGTCGAAAAACCTGTCTATGTTGAGTTACTT